AATACCTATTTGTTAATGATGGTAAAACAAATCTAAGTTACTCAGATTTTCCTAAATATATGGGGAAGAAGTATAGCCAAAACTACCTGTAACCTTGCACGCCTATCTTCTTTTCGTTGTGCAAGGGCAACATATAGAGGTTTTCCATTGATCATCTTACTATTCATTTCAGCCAGCTGCAGAAAACAAACTATCAAAATTCTGAAGTAATTTTTAATGTAACTTTGAAGAAGCTTCAAGTGGCAAGCATACTGCTTTAGATGCCTCCTCAGAAGTTGAAAATGCAACAAAAGCTGATCCCTTGCTTACTCCATTAGGATCTCGCATGACCTATTTCGATAACACGTTGCAAATGAGGTATTCAGTTATCACATAATACAATATTGATTAGTTCATATAGTACACTTTCACTGGGAAAGGTAGGCAACAATGCAAACCTTGCATGAAGTTATTGTTCCAAATGCAGAAAATAATTCTTTGAGTTTCTCATCATCAATAGTATCATCTAGATTTTTTATGTAGAGATTCAAACACTGTGATTTGTCAACTGCCTCCTTTGCAGTCTGTTCAAAACGATGTTTTAATTCAACCTCCCGATCAGATTTTTTCTGAGCTCTTCCAACAAACCATTCTTTGTTGTCAAATTTGCGTCCGTTAAGCGCTTCCACTGATTTAGCTGCCTCATCGGCATTCTCAAAGTTGACAAATCCAAAACATCTTGATTTTCCATCATCATCTCTCATTATAACTACACTAGTGAGGTTACCGAACTCACCAAAAATATTCCTGAGATCCTCTTCAGTTGTACACTCAGCCAAGTTCTTCACAAAGACATTAGTGAACTTCGTCTTTTCCCCATTCAAATCTCGTTCTTGCTTACGAACAAAAGGTCCTACATACACTTGCTTGTCATTCAACAGCATGCCATTCAGCTTCTCAATAGCATTGAGTGCAGCTTCATCACTGTCATATTGCACAAATCCATACCCCTTGGACTGACCAGTGGCGTCAGTTGCCACCTTGCATGAGAGAATATTCCCAAATGCAGAAAAAGTATCATGCAGTGCCTTGTGGTCAATTGCCTTGTCCAAGTTCTAGAGAAAAAAAATAGAGGAAAGGGTTAAATTTATACAAAACCCCAGCAAATATCAATGGACTATTGGACATATGTACCTTAATAAATATGTTTCCAGCACCACTTTTACGTATGGTTGGATCTCGATGTGAATACATTATACGGATGGGCTTTCCATTGAGAGGAGTAAAGTTGAGCACCTTCATTGCTCTATCAGCTGTTAGAAACAGTGTTAATAGGGAAAAAAACTAAGGACCAATAGTGCCGAACGAAATCTCACTCCGCATTGATATATATAAAGAAAACCCAAATCAGGGCATGAATCAGAATTCAGAATGCACAATTGTGCAAAGGCCTGACCAGCACAACTTTAACCACTTCAAAGGAAACTTATTGTGAAACTAGAAGAAAAAATACGTTGAGTGGTTCATTCACACATCCAAGTGCTAGATTAACTTATCACAATCTTCTTCCTCCATATTAAAACACATTTAATGCTTACCAGTTACATACAAGGATACATCACCCAATTCTATAATTCAATTACACATTATATAACATCAATGAATTATCATGACATATACAAATATAATTCAAAAAGAAAAGCCAAGTAATATCAAACTTTTCAATTATACCTCAATCTTATGCATCATTTGAAAATGAAATAAAGCAGACATTCAGTATTGCATTGTTTTGAACACAAATAGATTAACAATTATATTCAAAAAATAGATTAACAATAGCAAGTAAAAAAAAAATAAAGTGTCGATATTAATGAGCCAAATACTGACCATCTTGGGGGTTTCCATAGTTCACATAGCCGTAGCCGAGAGATCGCTGGGTAGTCAAATCCCTGCAAACCCTAACAGAGACCACTTGGCCAAGCTGATTGAAAATATCGTACAGCTGCGAATCAGAGACGTTCACATCCAGATCGCCAACATAAAGCGACGTCACGAACTGGTTCACTCCACCACTGGTGTTCCCGGCCGGAGGTTGTGCCTGAACTTGTGCCATCCTAGCTCAAAACCCAAGAATAAGACTAAAAGTTTTTTTCAGATAGAATTTTTTGATTTTTTTTGGCTTTTTCACTTCCCTCTCCTCTTTTTATTCGAAAAAAACAGTGCAATCAATTGAGATAAGAAAAGAAAATCAAACCCTAGAATGATATTTTGGGATTTTTAACGAGAGATTTTCTTTCTTTTTTTGGGATTTTTGTTTCTGGGATATGGTTTAAAACATAAAAAAGATGATAAAGAGAGGAGAGGGAAGTGTTGATAGGAAGGGACAGTCGGGAATCCGACAAGCGGCGGACGAAGAGATCGCCGCCGGCGACAGAAGTTTCAGACAGAGGGGAAGAGATTGGAAAGGGCAAACTCGAATATGGGCCGCCGTTTCTTTATACCTGCGCTGCCTAAGCAAAGCCCTAAGATACGGAGTAATTAGTACGGAGTATATCCGATAATCAGCACAGTAGAATATAATTAAACACCAAATTTGAAAAAAATTACTGTTGGATGAAGGAGTTGGATGAAGTAGGTTTTGTTGACTACAAGTAGTATTTTGACTGGTGTGATGCAACATTTTTATCAGTTCTGGATGTTTTCAATCCAATATCTTTCCATAACCAAGAAAATATATTTCTTACACGATTTTTAATCTTATAGACAACAACGTCAAAATAAAATAAATAATACTCCCTCCAGTCCTAAAAAACATTCTTATTTTAACTTTTTTTGGTCAAATAATAACATTCTTTGACCATAAATTAATCATAATCTAAATAAATAAATAATATAAAATTTAATATATCAAAGCTATATCTTAAAATTTAATATACGTTTCTCATAATTTATGGTCAAATACTACTACAGAATGACTATTTAAAAGTTCGTTTTATATAGCGGATAAACAAGAAACGCTCTTTTTTTGCTCTAGAAAAAATGACATGAGCATGAACAATTGAGAGCGCACCCACCAATTTTAATCTCTTAGGTTGCACAACGGATAGAAAAATATGCGCAGTGGTTTCCACCCAATCAATTTGCCCAACCAAAACCCAATCTTTCGTCCCTCTCCAGCGATATCAATAACGTCATCTCCCTCACACAACGCCTGTTAGAAATATCATACCAGAAAATATATTTGATTACGATATTGTGTGATTAGTATCATATCTTTGATTAGAATCAAATAACCAATCAAAGATATTTGATGAACTTCCACCCACCTTCCTTAATTCTCTCTTTACTATACCTTGTAATATATATTGACACCATTTTGGTGTAGTGAAATAAGAAGAAATAAAGTGAATTCATTCTATAAGTTTACTTTCAACAGGGTCGGCCCAATAGGGGGACAAGGTGTCCGTCCGGGCCGGGCCCAAAAATTTTAGGGGCACAAATTTTTGTTTAAGTATTATATATATATGTGTGTGTGTGTGTGTGTGTGTGTATGTATGTATGTATGTGTGTGTGTATGTATGTATGTATGTATGTGTGTGTGTGTGTATGTATGTATGTATGTATGTATGTATGTATGTATGTATGTATGTATGCATGTATGTATATGAGCCCAGGCCCAGTCCACCCATGACCCACCCCTTAACTTTTTACCCCTAGCCCAGTTCATCCTCAGCTTGTAGACAAAAAAACGGAAGAAAAGCCAAAGTGCCGATCGAAGAAACTCAAAAACCCCAAGAAAGGACTGGAAGAAACAAGAGAGCCGAGTCGCCGCCGGACGCCGAGTCGCTGACCTGCACGGTTCCACCCTCCAGGTAATTATTCATAGCTTTTCCGATTTTGTAATTTTCTTTCTTAAATCTTAATTTTCTTTCATATTTTTAATTTTTTAGATTTAAAATCTAGGGTTAATTATTAGTTTTTAATTTGAAATCTTTTCTACTTTCATTCTTTGAATCTTTGAAATAGAATGAATGAATGGTTCTATATGTTATTTATTTGATTTGGATGAATTGATTTGAATTTGTTATTTATGATAATGATATATTTATATTAAAAAAAAACTAAAAACCGAAAAACTGGGAATGAAAAAACAATTACAAAAGAAAAATTGAGGAATTGGTATTAATTTATGATTTATTTATTTATTTGCTTGCTTTTTTCATTTTTTTATTCTTGATTTTACTTAGTAGAATTTATGAATTTGAATTTTATTTCAGAAATAATTCAATAGATATGGCTACTAAACAACTATTCGGTAGTCAAAAAAGAAAAAAGAGAAAACGAGATGAAGAAATGAAAAAGTCTCAAACCGGAGCTCTATATAAATTTATGAAACCTGTTGCTGAAGACGAAGAAGTAGAAGTAAAAGAGATGGAAGAGCAAGAGCATCTACAAATAGAGCAAGAACATGTTGAAGATGATGAACATTTAGAAGAAGAGGAAGAAAATTTAGAAGAGGCAGAAGAACATCTTGAGCCTATGGTTAATGTTGTGCATACTGTTGTCGATATATTTGATCCAAGAAGATGGGAAGGACATAATTCTGAAGAGATTAAACTTTTGGTGGAGAAAGGTCCAAAAAGAGATCATAGTATTCACTATGGTCCATACGACAAAGATGGACAAAATGGTAGACGCTTTTCTGCAGCATTATATACAAAAACTTTACCAAATATGGAGAAGTGTGATAGAGAATGGCTTGTATATTCGAAAGAAGTAGACAAGATATTTTATTTTTGCTGTAAACTGTTTAGAACAGGAATTCCAAAAGGAAAATTAGATGGTGAAGGTTATGCAAATTGGCACCATGCTCATAGAAGAGTTAAAGAACACGAACGTTCAATGGATCATCTCTCCAATGTGAATAGATGGCTTGATATGCATAAAAGATTGAAGCAGAATGAAACAATTGATAAAGTTCAACACGAGCAATTCAAGACAGAAAGATATAACTGGAAACAAGTCATTTTCAGAATCATACCATTAGTGAAATTTTTAGCTAAACATAATTTAGCATTCTCTGGCTCAAAAGAAAGATTGTACCAAAAAGGTAATGAGTTAAAAATGTTATACTTTTAAATGTTCCACTTTTATAAAAGGTCATGTTTCTTAATTGTGTTTATTTTTTAACATCTAATAGAAATTTTCTTGGGTCTCATTTAGATGTTACAAGAGTTTGATCCAGTTATTCGAGAGCATGTGCGACGAGTCACAAATGATGAGCTTCATGTGCATTATCTCAGGCACAAGATCCAGAATGAACTCATACTTGATTTAGCCCAAGAGATTAAGAAGGAAATCATCAAGAAGATAAAGGAAGCCAAGTACTACTCAATCATACTTTATTGTACCCCTGATACAAGTCACCAAGAGCAGATGAGTATGATAGTGAGGTATTTAAACTTCTCAGGTAATTCTATTATTATGGAAGAGTCCTTTTTAGGCTTCTAAATGTTAATGATACCACCGGAAAAATGACTATTTGATGTTACAATTCAGGAGTTAAAGTCTCTTGGTCTTGAAATTGATGATATTCATGGTCAAGGTTATGATAATGGGGCATATATGAAAGGAAAACACCAAGGAGTTCAAAAAAGATTTTTGGATGTCAATCCTAGAGCATTTTACACTCTTTGTGGTTGTCATTCTCTTAATCTTACATTATGTGATATGGCTCAGAGTTGTGTTAAAGGGAATAATTTTTTTGGGAGCCATCCAAAAAATTTATACTATCTTTGCACATTCAATTAATCGGTGGCAAATTTTGAAAGATAATGTTAAAGGTTGGAGTCTTAAGCCATTATCTCAAACTCGTTGGGAAAGTCGTGTTGAGAGTATTAAGGCAATTAGAATGCAACTTTCCGATGTATGAGAAGCTTTGTTTGAAGTTGAAGAAAAAGATAGTGATAATACAATTGTTCATACAACAAAGTCACTAGCAGAAAATCTTGGTGAATTTGAGTTTTTGGTATCAACTGTTATTTGGTATCAAATATTAAACCAGGTAAATATAGTGAGCAAGAAGTTACAATCAAAGGATATGCATCTTGATATTGCTATTAAAGAGATAAATGGATTGATTGACTACTTCAAGGGTTATAGAGAAACTGGTTACTCAAAAGCAATTGATGAAGCAAAGGAGATAACTGCTGAAATGGATATACCTCTGATATTTCCAAAAAAGCGTTTGATTCGAAGGAAAAAAAAGTTGATGAGAGTTCAAGTAGCGAAGAAGTTTCATTTACAAATGAAGAGAATTTCAGGGTCAATTTCTTCTCTTATGTAGGGGATCCATATCTTCTCTTGAGATCGATAAGATTTGAACAATTCAAAGATTATGAGAGATTATTTGGGTTTTTGTTTCCACATAAGTTGAGTGGAATTGAAGAAAAAGAACTTAAGTTGTTTTGTCATCAACTTGAAAATGCACTCAAATTCGAAGAAAGGTAAGATATTGATTCTGAAGAGCTTTATATGGAGTTAAAATCATTCAACACATTACAAACCAGTGAATTTGGCAATCCCTTAGATGTTTTAAAGCATTTAAAAGAACTTGGTTGTTACCAGAATGCCTGCATTGCATATAGAATTTTGTTGATTGTTTTAGTAACTGTGGCATCTGCAAAGAGAAGTTTTTCCAAATTGAAGCTCTTGAAATCTTACTTACGATCTACAATGTCCCAAGAAATAATTAGTGGATTGGCGGTAAAAGCTATCGAGAATGAAATCTTAGAGAGCATAGACTGTGAAGATGTGATCAACCAATTTGCTCTCAAGAATGCAAGGAGAACTTCTCAAATCCTCAACTACCTTTTACGGTATGTAATTGTAATACTATAATTTTGTCATTTATTTTTTTCTTCTAATAATATTGCGTTAATTATAATTTAAATATAAGTAGTTTACATATGTGAATTTTTTAGACCATTAAGGATAAGACTTTTAAAGTCTTTTTTTTGTTTCGGCCCAGGCTGATGATTCCTCAGGACCGGCCCTGACTTTCAATATGGTATCAGAGCCATCATTCGATCCAATGATTGAATGAAACGCAGCTTTCTTCATCTACTATAAAAAAATGTCTGACCAAACTCCAGAAAGCTCCACCTTCACAGGGGAGTTTGATCCAATGAAGCAGCCCATCAATCATGCACAAATTCTAAAATTTCTCCAAAATTTCTAGAATTTAGCACCCAAGGCAGAACCTATCGAGAGCTCTTCCAATCAGCCGTTAAATTTTGCGCAAAAGCTCAACGATAAGAACTACGCCATTTGGGCACACAAGATGAGATTGGCTCTTGACGGAAGGGGACGGCTCAAACACATCACTGCCGCACCCCTCAACAATGATGATTCCAAACATATCAAATGGAGGCAAGCAGATTCAATGATGATAACTTAGATATTGAAAAATATAGAATTGGATATTGTAAATCAATATATCGATTATCATACTGCCTGTGATTTATGGAAGGGAATTGAAGCCACATACGGTTCCGGAAAAGATCCCCTGCAAATCTACTATTTAATGGTCAAAGCCAGCGAGATCAAACAAGGAGAACAACCCCTTGAAAAGATCTATAGCCAACTTCAAGCTGTTTGGAAGGAAATCGACAGACGCCAACCCAACCCAATGAAATGTCGAGAGGATATGACGATTTTTACACAAATTCAACAACAAAATCGTCTATATCAATTTCTACAAGCAGTAAATGAAGAATTTGATGTTGAAAAATGAGATATACTCAAAACCGAGCCACTCCCGTCGGTAGAAAAGGCATACACCCAAATCCGAAGGGAGGTAGCATGAAAGGGCATCATGAAAGGAGAAGGAGGAGGGCCATCATCGGGAGAGACTCCCTCAGGTATTGGCGGTAGCCTAGCGGCCACGCGAGTGGCGGTGGGATCGGAAATTCGCAAATCATTATCTCGCACCTATGAAGAAAAACCGCACTTAAAGTGTACCTACTGCAGCGGAGTGAAACACACGGTCGAAGGGTGCTTCAAGCGGATTGGCTATCCGCAATGGTGGCCGAATAGTCGGAAAAGAGGGAAGAAACTGTCCGGGGTCGATGGGGAAGCGGTGGGAAATCTGGAGACCACCAGCACCACCACAGACCATATATTCGTCGGAGTTACCACGGGAAAAACAGGAGGCGCAGAAGAAATGACTGGTAGGCAAACTGAAGAAACAAATGGCGTAGAAGAAAAGAGAGGGACAGGTAGGGTTGGGGAGGAAGAAAGGAAGGGGTTTTATATTTTAAAACCCAGCCCACCAAATAAGCCCAATACCCACCCAATTAAAAATGCACAATGGATTTTTGATTGTGGGGCAACCAACACGATGTCCTATGACCGTTTTGATTTTGATTCCTTAAATTGGTCTAAGAAAACTCATATTCAAACGGCCAATGGGGATCATTCTCGTGTCGAGGGCACTAGTCTAATATCTATCTCGACATTTATCTGGCTTGACAATTGCCTATGTGTTTCCACACAGTCTCATAAATTGTTGTCAATAAGCCATGTCACCAAACAATTAGATTGCACCATCCAAATGCTCTCCACTTTTTGCTTATTACAGGATATTCAGATGAGAAAGATCATAGGGCGTGGTTCTGAGCGTCATGGCATGTACTATGTTGATGAAGTTGATCACTATGGAACAGCTACACTTGCTCATGGGACAGTGGACAGGCAGGCATGATTGTGGCATCGTTGTTTGGGTCATCCATCTTTGGGGTATCTCGAAAGTCTCTTTCCAAAATTATTCAATACACCATGTCTTTTTCATTGCAACAGTTGTATTCTAACCAAAAGTCATAAACATTCTTATCCGTTAAATAATACTCCCTTCGTCCACAAATAAACTTTACGTTCACTATTCACACGGTCAAACTTTATTCACTTTGTTGGCCTATTTTCGTCACCCATTTGATAAAATAATATAGTCATGTCACCTCTAGTTTTGTAGATCTTTTGATATAGTTTTTTAATATGTAATTTTTATTTTTTAATTCTACACCATTTTTCATATAAAATGATTTGAAAATAACTTCAGTCAAACATCGTAACGCGTAATGTAAAGTTTAATTTTGGACGGAGGGAGTATTGTTGCATCACAACCTTTTTCATCTATCCATCCTGATGTGTGGGGTCCATCTATAGAACAGAGTCCAAATGGGTATCAATATTTCCTATTGTTTGTTTATTATTGTACTCGTATGACTTGGGTGTACTTTCTTAAACACAAATCTAAAGTTTTTGAAAAGTTCACCTCATTCTACAAATTGATCCACACACAATACCAAAAACAGATTTGTATTCTTCGATTTAATAATGGCGGAGAATACATAAATAATCCCATGAAAAAATTTTGTGAAGAAAAAGGTCTTATTCATCAAACCACTTGTTCTGATACAACAAAATGGCGTTGATGAACGTAAAAATCGAATCATACTCGAAATCACTAGGGCCCTTATTATTGAGTCTGATAATCTGATTTACTACTGGCCCGAAGCAATTGCCACCACCATTCACCTCATAAACCACCTTCCGACAAAAATCCTAAACCGTAAAACACCCATCGATACACTTGAAAAATTCTCCACTGTTCCTACCTACTTGACTCTCACTCCTCGTGTGTTTGGCTGTACTGTATATGTACATATTCTGAAAGCCAAGCGAACGAAATTTGATCCTTGTGCCATCAGATGTGGCTTTTTTGGATATGAGGTTCACAACAAGGGATACATATGTTATGATCTCATCTCTCGTCGAATGTACATGACAATGGATTGTAATTTTTTAGAAACGAATGCTATTTTCATAACCATTCTATCAGTCAGGGGGAGAAAGTTACGAGTGACTCTCTAGAGTGGTTACACAGTCCAGTCTTGCCACCTAAAACTGTCCTAACCGAGGAAGTAAGTCGTTTTATGGAATCATCTTTTGATAACAATGAACAATCCAACAACTCAGAAATCATGTCTGATTCTACTCCGTCTGAAACTCCTGAGGTTAGTATTTCTCCCAGTCCTGATGAATGTATTGATAAGAGTAAATTCCATAATTAGTCCTTTATAATAGGGGGTTTCCCTATTTAGTCCTCTATTATCAAATATTACCCTAGTGGTCCTTCTTTTATGGATATCTTTCCACAAATAGTCCTTTTTTGATCTTCAATAATGTTACTGTTAATTTGAAGGCTAAACGTGTAATTTGACAATGACAACATATATATTTTTGTCATACACAATTCCAAAGGCTGTTCCGTTTGCATCTTTTTGTGAATTACAGTCGTTTTCTACTACAACCATAGTTTACAAATGTGATCTTTCGTTGGAATCCTAGCCCACAATCATAGTCATTATTTTTGTGTTATCTGCTTAAACAATATCAGAACACGTCACTAGACATAATGTTGATGTCAAATTATACTTGTAGCCTTTAAATTAACACTAACATGACAGAAGATAAAAAAGGTCCATTTGTGGAAAGGTGCCCTTAAAAAAAGGACTACGGGAGTAATATTTGATAATAGAGGACTAAATATGGAAACTTCTGTTATAAAGGACCAATTATGGAATTTACTCTATTGATAAATCTAATGATACTGTGGAAGAAATGCCAACCATATATGTCCTCCCACCATGGCGGAATCGGGGGATTCCTCCAGCCAGATATGAACCAGAATACACCCCTCAGAATTCAAGATATCCTGTTGTTGATCTCGTCAGGGGGAGCATACCACAAGCTCTCCACACATCCAGTCATGAGGTTCTTAGAACAGTTGACGAAGCCTTACAAGTGCTAGAATGGAGGAAAACAATGGAAGAAGAGATGAAGGCACTAGAAAAAAAAATAATACATGGGAGAAATGTCAACTTTGTCCAGGCAGTTGGATGTCGATGGATATTTACAGTTAAGCACAAAAGTGATGGCACAATCGAAAGATATAAGGCTAGATTAGTAGGTAAAGGGTATACACTGTAATGCCCCGAAACCTAGCTTAGTATTTTTAATTAATTTATATAATTAATTACTGTGTTAATCAATACGAAGGTTAATTTTCTAATTTGTGTATTTAATATGAGAGTTTTCCTATATTGTAGGGCTCGCTGTTCTGAACCCGACCGCGCAAACAGATTGAGAATCAGACTTACTAGGCCCAAGATACGACTGACAATTAAGATAATTGAGCTTAAATTTATCCTAATTGGTTGAAAGTGTAAACTAGACCCTAAATATCTATTTAACTTTATACTCCGTATTAAATATGAGAGAGGGGGGCTACGGATTAGACATAGTTTTCAGAACCGAACCGGTGATCGAACTAGTTAAGGCACTGGTTTACTCGTCGAACCAGTGGTTCAAACATTTTTAATAAATATATAAATATATATATAGAGAAATAAATATTATATATGTATGTACGTACGTATGTGTGTGTGTGTGTGTGTATATATATATATATATATATATATATATATATATATATATATATATATATATATATATATAGACACACACACACACAACACACACACACACGTTGTGGCATTGAATTAAAAAAACTAATAATATATGAGTGAATAAAATAAAATTTCCTTTGATTATAAATAAAGAACTAATGTTGGACTAAGTTTATAATTTAACTTAATTTACTTGAGTTAGAAAATTTCACCATTTTTTGGCTTTGGGGCGTGATGGAATAAATCAAAATGGATCTTTAAACTGTCTGCGCTTCTTTAATTAATGAAGTAGCAGTTAGTCAAGCAATGCAACTTTCGACGTTGAGCCGGGGGTCTCTTTGGAAACAGCCTCTCTACTCTCGAGTAGGGGTAAGGTCTGCGTACACACACCCTCCCCAGACCCTACTCTTGTGGGATTTAACTGGGTTGTTGTTGTTTTTACTTGAAATGTGTCATTCAATAAAAAATAGTATTTACTTGTTTAAAAGAGCTTATAAATAAAAAGTGATTTGAATTTTTTTAAATATTTTACCTAGTATTTAAAAAAAACATATAATATTTGTGTGATATGCACTCCATATCAATTACATCAATGGGTTTTGAATTTTAGTTTAAAAAACAATATATATTTTTAAAGTATTTGATAAAAAATTTTTTAAATAGAGAGTATTTAAAACGAATCGTAGAGTGTTGCCACCCAGCATCGTAGCAGAAATGGTTTGTGGTGGCCTCTTTGTCCCAAGCAAGCCTCTGTTTGAATCCCAGGCTCGTGGTCTTTTAAAAACTCTCAATGAAGAATTAGAAACCGGTTCGGGCGGTAAAAACCGACCGGTTTTTTTCGGTTTACACTGGTTCACTGCAGAATGCGGTCTGATTGCCTGGACCAGACCGGTTTGGTGTCCGGCTGGTCCGAACCGGCCGGTCCGGTCCGATTTTTAAAACTATGGGATTAGACACTCTCTCTTCCGTTCATTTCCCTAGCTGTCCCTCTGCTCCGCGTCCGTTCTTCGTCGCCGTCTGGCCAGCTAGCAACCACAGCAGCCGCCGGAAGCTCCGCCGCCATCGCTGACCTTTCTCCCTTCCCTGTTGCGCAGAGTTCCAACGATTTTCCCTTCCCTGTCCGTCTCCGTCGTCCATCGGGTTCACGGGAGCACTAACCGGCGAACTCCGTCCCTGAGAAGCAGCGGCGGCGAGCTTAGCAGCAGCGTGGAGTCCGGCAGCAACAACGATCTCCCCTCTCCGATTCGAGTTTCTTCGTCAATTTCGAGGTGTGAATCGTTGTTCGATACCTAGCTTTAGTACTAATTCATGGATTAGGACTTTTTTTGTATAATCCTAAAATTTGGTTGAGGAATTGGCTGTTGATGATTGAATTGGTGTGAATTGCGATTTTGGGGTCGTTGCCGCTTGTTTTTTTGGCAAAACGCCAACGACAGCACGACCGATTTCCGGCAACAGTCAGGGGTTCCAATTGGATCAATTCGAGCTAAATGGGTGCAATTGGGTCCAATTGGGTTCAATTGAGTCCAAACGGGTTTCAATCGGGTTCAATTGGGCTATTTGATTCAATTGGATGCAATTTGGTTTGATTGGACTATTTGGGCTAATTGACGGGTTGTTCGGGTCATTGTGAACAACCCAACGGGGCTGTTTGGTCGGACTTCGAGTTCAGGCAGCCGAGACAGCTACCGACAGGGGAGTCGGGGTTGTTCCAGTGACTTTTGGTACTGCTCCGGCAGGGGCAGCAGGCCCAGGGATCGATTCAATCGTGGGTCTCCGGCCCGGATAGGCCGTTACGTGATTTGTTGTGATTTGTGAACCGAGATTTAAATTAAATCAATCTTATTTGTGAAAATTATGGATTATAAATAGTATATGAGGAATAGGCCACCTAGTATCACCAATAGGATATGGTTAGGAAATTGGCCATTGCGGGGCATCGTCGCACCCTTGGTGCTCTTGAGTTAAAAAACATACATACGGAAATCCGCGACCTGTCCTGGCACCATAGGAACAAGGGCTTCAACCCACCCAAAGTGAATCTCCTTTGGGTTCCTGAGCTAGCCCTTTTATAGCATCGCTTGAGGTGCTATGACTCAAAACTAGAGGACTTGAAATAAAATAATGACATGATGTGAAGCTAATATAAATATGTTTATTTAAGTTATTTTTCTCTGTGATCGCATGATGTTGATTAATTGTATGTTAATGTGGTGTTATTCTGTGAGTTAATGTTTGCTTAGGTATATTTCTACTTAGTGTTTAGTTGAGTGTATAGTCGTTGTTGTTTGACTGCATGCAGGTAGGAACACAGGTTTGGATCGACAACCCAGAGGGCAGTGAAGTGGTGATGTGGCGTGGATGGCTCCTATTTTTCTTTAATAATTAAACTAATTTATTTTCTTTAAACAATATTTGGTTTTCTTATGCTTCCGCGACGTTTGGACTTGTTTATTTACTCCGATGAACTTTTGGTTTAGTTTAAACTTTTACGGATGAATTTTATAATTTATTTAGATGTTTATCATTGAATATGTGCATTGGTGCATATATATAGACATAACTCGGCAAAACGTTATGTATGAATGTTGTCATGACTCCGTCTCTTCAATCAAACTAAATGGCTGTGTGTATAAACATAACACACACACACACACAATATGTATAACCATAATTAGTGTACGAGCTGTTGAGTTCTCCAAAAGGGAGTAGATGACGTACTGACGATACGTGACGCATTATGGTTGCCCTGAGAGTGGCATAGGAAAGATAGACAGGAGGAGACCGAAGAGTCCAGTGCTCGGTCGTGCTATAGAGTGGAGGATGGTCGAGACTTGATCTCCTTTTCCTCGTGGGTGGTGGATGGAGGGTGTAATGTTGAAGAAGATGAGAGTGCAGCATGATAAGAAGATGACGCAAGTTGTGCAGCTGCTGGAACAGCACCACCTGCATATTCATTACCAATAAGTATACATCAAGCGTAACAAAAGACTACAATTATTGGATAAAAACCGTAATTTGTGGTTGGTTTGCTACGAAGTCAAAACTTTAAAGAGGCCCGTAATCTAAGCTCATTGTGTCCTAGCTCATTGGTCGTCTTATTATTATTATTTATTTAAAATTATTAATAGTATATCGAGAGCAATAGTAAATTAAATGGCAAAGAATATAAGTAAAAAAAAAATCAACTTAGGATGCCACATAAAACACCACATCAATTGCAAAAGAGGTTCATGTTTGTTTTTTACGAGATAAAAAGGGTTAATTGTATTGTTTTCAAGCCCAAGTATTTCTTTGAAACTTTTATGAGTTTAGGGGTCTAACTGCAGTTTTAATAGAAATTAACCTATTTGACCCTTATCCCTTTGATAAATGCAGAATACCCCCTTTGGTGCAGACTAAAGAGTGTGCCGGCTATGAAACTTTTCATCAAGACTGACTTAGGGGCTGGGCTGTTTGGCAACTTCTGAATAGGTAAGTGCTGAACCAGTAAGAGGTCTGAACCATTAAGTGCTGAACCAGTAAGAGGTCTGAACCATTAAGAGCTAGTATATTGCTTAACTATTTAGAGGCAAATGTCTGATCAATTCAGATAAGAGGTCTTAACCATTCAGACTCTGTATAATACTTAACCATTCAGAGGCAAATGTCTGAACCATTCAGACATCTGAACCATTAAGAGGCTGAAACAAACAGTCTGAACCATTAAATGCTGAACCATTCAGACATCTGAACAATTAAGAGGCTGAAACAAACAGCCCCTTAAATAAGATCAGGTTTTAGATGCTCATTCTGTTGTCTGGTGCTAAAAAGCAAAGGGGAGTAATTATCTTTTGGGTTATTGGGGGTCATGAAGAATGGTTACTCAAGCACTAGAACTCTCTAGAAAAAGTATATTTACAATGTTTTGGCTTAAAATAAATAATGGACTAAATAAAATGACACACTAAACATTCATTGCTTCTTACGTTCTATAAAATTTCAAAGGGGACTATTCTTTCTTTTGTTGTTATACTTTCAGCTAATTTGAATGTTTGATACCATTAGTTGGCAACAATCCCAACTAGTCGAGATAAGGGCACTGGTGATGATTATAATAAAAAGATGCATTTAAAAATCAACATGGTGTTGATATAAAATGAGGTTACAAGTGGAACTGAAAATGAAAAGCTCATTAGCTTATTTGAAAAGCTACCCCAAGACACTTACAGTCACGTAAGGTCAAGGTTGTCAGATAGGTTACTCCAACCAAACAAATCTTATTTGAAAACCTACTCAAAGAAGCTTCGTCTAAAAATCAGAATAAGGGTCATTATATTTTTTGACAAAACTTATTTGAAAACCTACTCAAAGAAGCTTCTTAAAATCAGAATAAGGTTCATTTTCTTTATTGACATCTTATAGTAGCCTTCCCCCTCCAACATATTCTTATGGCTGATGGATTTCATTAGGCAAAAGCAAACTACATGCAACATATTAACTGTTAAAGGTATAAAGCAAATGAGGTGAAGAATGATGTATGAATTGTGAAAAACCCTTCTTACCAGCCAATCCTGCACATGCTGATGAGAAAATAATTACAGGTGGAGCCTGCAACCAAAATATTAATGCATCAGAAGAAATGATAGATCCACAGTAAATTCAAGGAGAACAAATTCATGCATTTTAAAAGTACTTTAGAGAGAGCAAAAAAAAAAAGCCTCACAATCTAGACTAGGCTTTCTTTCCCATATTCTTATTGATGCCCAAGATAATTGACTCTTCACAAGAGAGAACCATGTATACTAATGTAGCTCATATCTTGCAAATGCAAGCCCCCACCCTCCCCCAAACAACTCCAAAAGAAGTTAAACACACATGAGTAATGATTATCATTCCCAAAGGAAAAAAGGTATTTCCTTAGCCACTGATATGAATAACAGGACAGATTGCATCCACTCGGAAAAAGAAATAAGGGGAGAGAAACAGTACAAAAATTCAATGCCTCAAATTAGAAAGAGAACAAAAAAATTTACTGACAAGCTGAAGACACTTACTCCAACAAGGAAATGTAGCCACATGGGACCTTTAATCCCCTTTCTAACAAAAGGCATCACTGGATATCACGACCAAAGGAGAATATAAAACATTAAAATCACTACAAAATTAATAATCCTTATTTGCAGAGAATAGAGAAACAATGAAGAAAGTATAATTATAAAAATCAATATCCTTTACCTAGCCCAGAGAAGATGCATGGTATTCAAGTAGATGAACAAAGATATAAATGCGTATGGTAGTAATGGTACAAAATAAATTCATGAAATTTGAAGAACATTAACCACTCTCAAAACACTTTCTTCCGCTTTGATGAGACAAAAAATGGATCCATTCAACGGTGTGAAAATGCAAAACAACTTTTATTTGTATACACATAATTATCATGTTGCAACACAAGCTTACTATGGACCAAATAGATCTACAAAGTTTTGGTTAGAATTTTATGAGTTTATTTTTAAATTAGTAGGCATCTACAGGTCTGAAACATGCTATCCCAAATAATCTTTGGTTCTGCATCTATAAACTTTCATGATTTTCTTTATTTTCATTATTATCTTTTACTGTACTAGTCAGTTTTACTCCATAACTTACAACAACAGAACCACAACTACTCTATATTTAATTTGATAGTCTTGACTTGACAGCATCCCAATTCCATTTTGTTATTTATCCATTGTTATCAATTTCTCATTTAAAACATTTGTGTTAATCCGGCATGCCTTGAGGCTTACGCCTTATGCATCAACCACGTCCTTTGCCATATCAAACATTGACCACATGAGTGAAATTACCAATATTGTTTGGTTAAGCCTGTGGATTGTAATTTTAGCATATTTTATTAAAGGCTATATGTTTTAGTGCGTTGGTTAATTTGCGAAAAATGTCAAATAAATACCGGAGTACTATTTTTGGTGTAAAGAATTGATAAATATAAACAACTAAAAACTAAACAAATAATTTATCAAGTTTTTTTAACCAATATAATTTATCAAGTTATTCAAATGCTTGATATTTATTTTCTAATTTACCTCAGACTCTCTAAAAGATAAATAAGATTCATAATATTGCCAAATTTGGAAATTAAATGAAAATACCCAATGTTATTGCACATCAACCAAGGGAAAAAGTTTACCACATAACCATGTAAATAACATATCCTACGTCAAGGTAACAATGTATTATTACATTAACACATTTCCGAGGTTAACTTAAATAATAGGAACCCAACACCCTTCACTCATACGTCGGTACATTTATAATAGGGGAGCAGCTGATGTATTCCTCATCAAGATTTCCCAGATTTTCCTCAATTAGATTTTAGAAGTATAGGAAAAGTTTGTTTACCACATTTCCTCACATTTCCTCAACGTGAAAGACACACCAGTGCAATTGACACTGTTTATTTATGCATTGAATTTTTAGTGTTAGTTTTTTAACACAAGTAATTGACACTATAAAAGCTTGTGTGCATTACATTAAAATTGACAAATTTACCAAACTCTAATATACTCAACTTCTTTTCCACCCTTGTTTTCTAAGTAGTTATCCAATAGCTTAGAACAGAGGTATGCAATTGATTCCTATTTGAATGAACTATGAGGAAGAGTATGAATGCTTAACAATGATACGCAAATGATAACATGTAAGATGTATCCTGAACATTTGTAGCATCTTAAAGTTCTTAGATTGGTCATTGTTATGTTAAGAGACACATTCACAAAAGACTCATCAGATCATATAGAACCTACCAAAACTGCAAAGGAATTTAGCTGCGCGTAATTGATATAACAGCAATCATAAACTAGCTGAAGATAGCTTAACAACAACAACCTAGTTGAATCCCACAAGAGTAGGGTCTAGGGAGGGTGTGTGTACGCAAACCTTACCCCTACTTGAAAGTAAAGAGGCTGTTTCCAAAGAGACCCCCGGCCATAGTTATGAAAGGTGAGTGGCGAATGGCGGGCGGTCAAATGGCGAACAAAAAAAAAGCGAATACACACACACAGTTATTTTCACATGAATGACAAAACACAACATAAATTAAAAAATGTCGTTATATATTGGAAAAAAAATTATGCATGGCTTATCATAAAGCCTTAAAATAATTAAATTGAAGAAATCATAAATTGGAAGAATAGTACACAAATTGAAAATATAATAGCAACTGTTAATCATTGAATAATACAGAAATTCAAAAAACAAATTGAGAATAATATGCTTATTGATTAGTGACCTGCTCCTGTGCTGAGGCCTGAGACTTGCGCTGGAACACCTGGAAGAAGACTCCGAGTCTATTAGGCTGCTTACTGATCGGCTGTGCTAGTGTGCTGCGAGTTGCGGAGAATCGACAGGAAGGAGGATCGACTTATGAGACGAAACGCGGGGTACGGTAATTACTGATCACTTAATTAGAAACGGGCTCAGGCCCAAATTAATTACTCCATTTGATTTTGACCGGTAATGAAAAAAATTGACGGCGATGCAAAAGGCCAAAATTGTGCTCGCCTTACGCCATAACTCTCAGCGAAAATGACGACGCCATGGCACGCCTCACGCACATCGCCATTTCCAGCCAAATTCAGGCGCCCTAGGCTCGCTACAGAGCCATAACTGCCATCTGTGTTGCACTGGGATGGGGTGCGGGGGCATATACGGGTATGGGGACAGGGGCGGAAAACAGCAATTTTAAAAATTACAGGATGCGGGGACAGCAAGGATACAACAACAAAAAATAAATAAATAAATACTCCATTAAATATAGAATTGTAAATGTAAAAACAATACTTAATTCAAAAGTTTACCAAAAATTAATTCAAAACCATACACAGTATTTTTAAAGTCTGCGTAGAGAACAAAATCAACAAATTATTCTTTAAAAAAATGAAATAAAAATACAAAACAAATTATTGTTAAAAAAATCATGTTGTACAATAATACCTGTAAGATTAGTAGAAGGCAGTCAAAGGGAAGGTCAATTTTGTGTATAATTTATATGGACTATAAAATAGGTTTCCCAAATTCTATCAAAGCATTTGAACGAAATAAACCTAAATCTTAATCGCCGTCAGATACTACGCCTTCAAAAAATTACTCCGTTAAAAAGTGGGTCGAGGTCACGGGTTGAAGAGTATATACGCACCCGGTACGCCCCCTGCTAGCCGATTCCTTGTGGCTTGAAGTCAGCGACGATTCCCAATCCTTCAAGACATTTAGGAATCGGCAGCTGCCGTCCCCATAGGCGAATCCGTCCCCGCAACGATTCCGGCGCGCAGAGCGGCAGTGAAATGGCGAACCCGTGCATCCTAGACCGCCATAGACGAGCATGGCGCTCGCCTTTCATAACTATGCCCCCAGCTCAGCGTCGAAAGTTGCATTGATTGACTGACTGCTACTTCACTAATTAAGGAAGCGCAGAAAATAGTGAATTTTTGGCTCCATCGGAGATTATGTAAACTGAAGATAGCTTAACAATGATACTCAAATGATAACATGTAGGATGTATCCGGAACATCTATTGCATCTTAAGTTCTTAGATTGATCATTGTTATGTTAAGAGCTGCATTCACAAAAGATTCATCAGATCATATATTCATATACAACCTAGCAAAGTCCAAAACTGCAAAGGAATTTAGCTGCACGTAATTGATATAACAGAAATCATAAGCTAGCCGAAGATAGTAACAAAAAACAAGTTAGCAATATTACCATGGTTGAAGCCATAAAATGCACTTACTGTGCCACCAACAGCAGAACCAATCTAGCTCATCCCACCAGCACAAGAAATACATGAGAGCATAAACCAAAAGAAAATAGGAGATACATGACACATATAATGGTAAAGTGTACCATGGAAAAACTATCTCTTATCAAAGGTGGAACTGTCCACTCGCTAGCCTCCTGCCATGATTTTTTTATTATCAGAATTTCATGAGAATCTCATACTCAAAAGAGGAGAAATAATAAATGTGGAAGTTACCATCTCGTTGGATAGTGGACCGGCGCAATGGGCACATCTCACACTATTCTTGAGGCTATGGTTTGATTGCATAGTCGGCTTCTCCATTCATTCACCCACCAGCAATCAGCAAGACGTATCAAATTCTATAGAACTTGAGTCCATCGAATCAAAAGTAAGCCACCATAGAACCGGAAAAAGATGCATGTATAAGAGATCATGCCATCAAATGACAAGTTTTTCAAGGCCCAGCCTGGACCAAAGAAGGCTGATTATCCTCACAAATCATTACATAAGACCGATTTGAAATCAACTTTTGAAAATTCTTAAGTGCTTACTTAAAGTGGTTTTGTAAGACTTTAAATGATTTGTCCGATTTATTTTATATCAATGATGTGTCAATGACATAGTTTTATATACCAATGACATGCCAATTAGTTGAGCTATTGGCTCAAATTGGTTTTCCTAAATATGTAAAATGTTAAATACTTAAAATGTGTGCATAATAACGTGAAAAGCAAAAACATAGTTTCTCATCACATGAAAATGCATATATGGCCATATATCACACCTATTTTCAGCTTTTAGGCTCTTGCATACAGAGACACCATAAGGTCCATAACTAGACATTCCAAAATTACTAGTAATGCATATATGGCCATAATAACACCTATTTTCAACTTTTAGGCTCTTGCAAACACAAACACTATAAGGTCCATAACTAAGCATTCAAAATACCTAGCAATGCATATATGGCCGTAATCACACTTGTTTTCAGCTTTTAGGCTCTTGCATACACAGACACCAATCACACCATAAGGTCCATAACTAAGCATTCTAAAATACCTAGTAATGCATATATGGCAATAACCACACCTATTTTCAGAATTTCAGCTTTTAGGCTCTTGAATACACATACACCATGAAGTCCATAACTAAAGATTCCAAAATACCTAGTAATGCCATAATCACATCTATTTTCAGCTTTAGGCTCTTGCATACACAGACACCAGAAGGTCCATAACTAAACATTCCAAAATACCTAGTAATGTATATATGGCCAAAATCATAACTTATTTTCAGCTATTAGGCTCTAGCATACATAGACACTATAAGGTCCATAACTAAACATTTCAAAATACCTAGTGCCTTGAAAAGTCAGTACAAGATCTTACAGAGTGCGAATCACATACTACTCTCAATAGACATTATCTTATTTATAGAGGCACGAACCTCACACATAAGTCTAGATGTTGTTTGCTTGGCTCACCTAGAGTGGACTAGGCTGCAAGAGTGCGGATGAGACAACCTTGGTGGTCGTCCATGTAAGTCAAGTGTGGTCGCTGTAGTCCGTAGAAACCGACCGTGGCGGTCGCCAATCATCTATAGTGACTGACCTTTGCATTCGTCGATCATCTATAGTGACTGACCTTGGGGTCGCATGTCGTCGTGGGCGACCAAAACTCGAGGCACCGACTCATACACTCCAGAGCACCTACCAGAGGGCGCACCTGGTGTTTTCCTTGCAAGGTCGGACGTATCACCGGGGCCTTCGGGTACAATTCGAGCACAGGCGCAGCATACACCGCAGACAAGCTACTATTTGGAGATTCCCATAGTCAATGGTCAAGGAATATCATCTTAAATCTATATCTATATCTATATCTATACAAAGGTAGAATAGTTTGGGTAAACAGTGTTCCCACCCAAAACTATCCTGCCATGAAAATAACACACACGGTATATTAAGCATCCAGGCTTGGCCTGTTTAGCTTTAAGTGATGGTCATTTAATGCTCCACTCTTATATCAAGTCCAATCATGGGCAGTAACACACATGATTCCATTTAGTTTTAGGTGATGGGCATTTAATGCCCCACTCTTACATCAGTCCAATCATGAACACTAGCGCAGGCGGTTTATTAAGGACACGGGCTCTGAGGCTCGGCCCATTTAGCCTTAGGTGATACGAATTTTATGCTCCACGCTTACATCAAGATTAAATATTCTACATTTACATGTTTACAAAACAATTCACAGACCAACATCCTCAAAGAAGCAAAAACTATTTGAATTCTAGGAGAAAGCCTTGGTGACAATGGTGGCCAGAAATCATCTCAGCCAGGATAATGGTCACTACTCAAGGATATCAATCAGAATGTCACTGCATGGGCAGTGAATTTGAGAGCATTACAAGCTTACCAAGTTCCGTCACACAGTACAGGAGGCAATGTGATGGAGGTCATCATACAGGAAGAAGAGGTGATGTGGTTTTTAAGCTCTATTAAGAAAAACACACTTTTTTATGACATAATACTAATGTAGTCAGATATAATGTATAGCACATATTTAATCCCATTCAGGATCAAACTTTAAAGAATCTGGGAGCTCAATTGCCACTTCATTTGATTTTATGATCATTTTCATATAACTCTAGGGCAATAATACTTCAAATAATCTATTTGTATCAAGAAAATAGCATAAACAATAAACCAAAATACGATGGAGGCCATCCATACCTGATTTTCAACATAAACAAAAACATTTGCAAGTTTAGAAGAATTTGATGTCAAAATCACATTGAAGTTAATCAATGTTTTGATATAGAACAAGCAATTTTTGCGACATTGAACTCAAAAAGGACCCTTCACTGATTTTAAAAGTGAATTCCACTTCAAACAATTGTGTTCTTCATCTTCCTCTTACTGATTTTCCGTATTACAAATCATACTTGAATTCTATTTTTTTTAATTTAGTTCCTTCTTAGGACACGAGGATTCATGTTCAAATTAAGCATCCTCACATATCTCAATTCCTGCCCAGGATCAAAGGAGGACTGCATGGGTTAAGAACTTTTTTGGCTAATAAAAAAAGGGTTACTACAGCTACAACTAAAAATTATTCAGGATATGATTGGACAATGCATTTATGTATATAATTCAATTACATTTATTAATTGTTTTGTTAACGATTAAGGTCATGTTCTTTTGAGTTGGAAAAATTAACTTCTAACTTTTTCCAACTCCTTACGGTTTCTTCCAACTTCTTCCAGTTCCTTCCAACTCCTTCCAGTTTCTTCCAACGACTTGAAAAAGGTATTCATATATGATGAATATACAATAATATTATATATCCAAATTTATAACATACCGCCTCAAACATGGACAATGATGAATTCTTTTTTTATCCAAAATTAGAGTTTCTTACATATTTATTTGGGTGATCATTTAATTGAGTGACTTTTTAACACTTAAAATCTTCCAACTCCTTCCAATTTTTCCAACTTCCAGTTTCTTCCAACTTCTTCTAGTTTCTTCCAATATTCAACTCTAAAATTCCAACCCAAAAGAACAGTGCCCATGTGATGTAATTGACAGCTTCTGTTAAATCATTTAATGACCAAAGGGTTGGATATTAGAAATACAGTTTCCTTATTTCTATTCAAAATTTATTTATTTACTTATTTAAATATCTAATATTATTCATTACGGAGTATTTATTTGTTTAAATTATTTACTTTCACTATAAATATTCAATTTGTCATAAAAATGTAATAACAAAATGCCTATTATATTTGAATTATTTGAAAAAATTTAATGCACTTGAAATCTTGGGACAAAGTGACAAACTGTTGTACTTTAAATAGGGAGGTATCTTAGAACTAAATACTTCAAAATATTTGTATAGTAAGATTAGTTTTTTATAGAGTGCGTAGGTAGGTAGGAATCTGGACAGGGGCTCAGTGCAGACAAAACATTTCTTGAAGTCTTCAAAAGTCTTTTATATATATATGATAAGACTTGGCAATAACCTAAATTGTGCAATTTTATAGGGTGAATCATGTGCTACCATTGTGCTTGGGTTGACTAATAAAAGAGGCACATTACTACCACTACACTCTGTTGGGCGAATTGAGTGTGGAGGCTCGACCAAGAAGGGCAGCCGGCCCTAGTCTTGGTTCGACCCATATGGCAGTAAATTAGGTTTTCAATTTAGTCGTCCCTAATTCTCTTTGTGGGCTTGGGCCTAAATTGGGGATTAAGTTTTTAATCCTAATTTAGTCTTCATAAAAATTCGTGGAGCACCTGAATAATAAAAAGCCTAGTTGCAAAGTGATTTAGGTCAGCCGACCGAACCACTATAAATCTTGGATTCTGTTTTCTCCGGTTTGATTTTTGTTTTGTGTGTGTTCTTGTTTGGTTGTGGTTTGCTATTCATAGATACCCCAACAACTGGGTATCAGAGCCTTAGGCTTGTGATCATTGAAGTCTTCCGTCGGGTTCGTGGAGATCAGGTATAAATCGAAGGTTAGGGTTTCGAAGAGTTTGAAGATCAGTTCCACCACCGTCATAGTTACCGCTGTAGAATACGGTTTGTACTGTCTTGTGAACAGTAACCGTGCCGCCACTGTGAACAGCCACCACTACTAGGGTTCCGATTAGCCGCTGCCAAAAGGTTAGTTCGTTATGGATTTTTCAATCTCAGATCAGTTTTTCAGCCGTGTATGGAAACAATGGCAGATGAAAAGATAAAGATTGAAAAGTTTGATGGAAGTGATTTTGGGTTTTGGAAGATGCAAATCGAAGATGTTCTTTATCAGAAAGACTTATACCAAACGTGATCGGGGAAAAGCCAAAAAAGATGAGTGATGCAGATTGGGCGATTTTGGACACGAAAGCTTTGGGAGTGGTCAGGTTGTCATTGGCGAAGAGTGTTGCTTTCAACGTAGTCAATGAAACGTAGGACTTCCCGAATGACCGTACCGAGGTATTCTAACGTACTCCATGCAGCTGTTATTGTTGAGTCTACCCAAAGGTTATGGCAGGATTGTAGGAAGTGGGCGATACGTTTTTGTATTTCTATGAGAAGCTCTATGGAACCAACGATTCCCAGTAGAAAGTCGTCGGCATATCCCGCGTCAAAAATCTTTATTAGGTAATGGGTTTTTAAGGGGGGCAGGCCTCTCTCTGACCTGACAACTAGTATCGCCTCCCCGCCCAGCTCTATCAACAGGCCCTTTCTTTTGCAATACTTAAAAAAGTCTATCATGGCCCAATTATTATTTACAGCATTCTCTACCATAGAATTGGGTCAACCCGGGGGCTTCTGCGGCGCAAGGGAGGCTCGAGGAGGGCCGTGTCCTCACTGAAGTCAACCCACTTTCTCCTCTCTGAGAGTCCAACCTTACTTATGGGATTCCCTCCATATACATATATGGGCATCCCTCTATCAGTGTTCTCCAAGAAAGACCACCCGATTCTTCGGATCCTGAGAACGAAGCCCTCCTTACCGATTATGAGATCTATGAAATGATAATCCATATATATGCTTTTCTAAAAGAGTAAATTGGCATATGGCTAATTTCATAGAAGGGAAGGCGTCATACATAACGCATGGGTTAATGAAAGCTTTGTCGAATATGTACGAGAAACCATCAACATTGAACAAGGTGGTTTTGATCAGACGGTTCGTTAACACCATAATGAGGGAGGGTGCCATTCACATCAACCAGTTTGATTCGGTCATAACTCGGTTAGTATCAGACTTAAGTTTGATGATGAACTTCAGACGTTCTGCTTTTATCTTCTTTGCCTGACCGTTGGTCTGGAACAGTGACTGCAGTTAGTAGTGCATCTGGTACTACTAAGTTTACTGAAGGTAGAGGAAAAAGGAATGAAAGAGGAAGCAACCGTGGTAGAGGCAAGAGCCAGTCCAAGCATCGGGAAGGAATTGTCTGTTGGGATTGCAAACAGACGGGACATTTTAGAAGTCAGTGTCCGAATGGTAAAGAGGAAGTGAATACGACAGAAAGCTGCTCAAACAATAGTGATGATGTGTTAACCTGTAGCATAGAGAGTAGTATAGATACCTGGGTGATGGATTTCATGCCACACAACATGAAGCTGATGAAGAATCTAAAGATTGGGGACTTTGGTAAAGTACGACTTGGTAACGATGAAATTCTGGATGTTATGGGCATGGGGGATATTGACTTGAAAGCTTCAGTTGGAGCCACTTGGACTTTAAAAAACATCAGAGTCATTCCAAGCTTGAAGAGGATGTTTATCTCAGTTGGGCAGTTGGATGATTCGGGTCTTGATGTTAAATTTGGTGGTGGACAGTGGAAGGTGGTCAAAAGAAAACTTGTTGATGCTTGTGGCAAGAAAAGGGGTTCGTTATATATGGTCAGATACCAGAAGGAGCAAGTCCCGTTCTGGTAAAAGAAAAGATCTGGTTCAAAGAATCTCGTGTGCAAAAGAGCGTTACCTTTGCAAAGGAGAAACCAAGAGCAAGAGTACAGATTCAGAATGAACTAGCTCTGAAGGTTCAACCAAACAGGGAATTTTGTGACAGTGGGAGCACATGTCGTGCTTCAATCCCATTTCAATAGTGGGTTAGGAAAACCATTATTCCGGCATTGAATGTTTCTCCTGTTAACTATTTGCTTGGTTTGGAGAATGTATGTTCTCAGTTTGTCTCAGAAGCGATGAGAGTGATAGACGTGTCACAGTCGGAGCTTGCACAGAAAGAGAACGAGTCACGGGTTGTGTGACTGATGAGTTGAAGCTCTGTGGGAGCTTCTAGGGATGGGCATAAAACCCGTTCTTGTTGTCCCATTCCGAAACATTCCGCAACCGTTATGAAATTATAGCGTTTTATTTGGGATTCATTTTTTTCTTGTCTCGAACCCGTTCCGTCCCATTTCTAAATGGGACATCACCGGGAAAACATAATGTGTACCATTCCGTCCCGTTTTTCCCGATTTATATACTCTTATAATATGGTTATATGCATGCATGCATGCATGCATGCATGCATGCATACATACATACATACATACATACATACATACATACATACATACATACATACATACATACATACATACATACATACATACATACATACATACATACATACATACATACATACATACATACATACATACATACATACATACATACATACATACATACATACATACATACATACATACATACATACATACATAACGTAATAAACATATATATAATTAATGTCTTGACATTTAATGTTTGGCCAGTAGGCAATTCTATATAAGTAATTGGCCCAAACCTAACATTCTTCCTTTGTTAGCTGTGTGATACTTCCTTTTAATTAATTCCATTTTAATCTTTTTATATTACCTTATTGTATAGGTTGTTGTAAGACATTCTTATTAAATACTCTATTATTTTTAATTTTCATAATTTTTTTTGTAAGTCTAAATATCGATTTTCCTCTCCATCCTTACGTATATTTTATCTCTAACTTCGAACAAGGACAAAGTAGGACAATCCAAATTCGTTCCGTTTTGTCACAGTTCAAAAAATTATGGGACAAAGTGGGATAGGCTTGTGGTCTGAACCGTTCCGAACCGTTTGAATATGACGGGACATGATGCGGGATAATTTGAAACCCGAACCATCTCGTCCCATGCCCACCGCTAGGAGCTTCAACGGGCCTTTAGGTAATTGAAGAGAAGGCCGCTGCAACTAGTGGTAAATGAAGATTACAAGAGTTACAGATGTTGAAGACTACGGGGAGTTGTTCGAGCCTCTAAGTGGGAGATTGTTGGGCGAGTTGAGTGTGGAGGCTCGACCAAGAAGGGCATACGGACCTAGTCTTGGTTTGACCCATATGGCAGTAAATTAGGTTTTCAATTTAGTCGGCCCTAATTCTCTATGTGGCCTTGGGCCTAACTTGGGGATTAAGTTTTTAACCCTAGTGTAGTCTTCATAAATAGAAACCTCTATACTTGTAATTCGAGGAGCACCTGAATAATAAAAACCCTACTTGCAAAGTGGATTTAGGTCAGCCGACCTAACCACTATAAAACGTGTGTTCCGTTTTCTCTGTTGTGATTTCTGTTTTGTGTGTGTTCTTGTTTGGTTGTGGTTTGCTATTCATAGATACCCCAACACTCATCCCATAGACTGCTCTCAATCTCCCGTCACAAATGTTCAAAAATGAATACTCCCTCTCGCACTATTTTTGGAACATGACCAAATATGGTAGGCGACTAAAATAGTGGGGTGGATAAATAAGATAATAAGCCTTGGTTAATATGGTTAAACAATGGACAAAATAGTGGGATGGAGGGATTAGTTTCTAAGTAAAAAAGGAACTCCTTTGGTTAATAAGTACTCCGTAAAACAGAGTTTGGAAAAAAAACTGTAACCAAATGGTTAACTTCATTTAGCACTAAGATGATATCTTCACATGACATTTGAAGTGACATCCATAGTTGTCCATTGTTCTTACAATAAAATAGAGTTTGAAAAAAAGTTCATTTGTTTTTTATTTCATAAAATGGATTACCCTTCAAATCAAAACAAAATCTACCTTAGAGAACCATTTGGTTACCCTGTGGCCTATAGTATAAATCTGGTTTAAGAAATGATTTCTCTTCAGATTGTTATTTTGAAAAAACTTAAAATTTCAGAGCAGGACTAAAAACTTGAACATCTCATTTTCAAAACATATTAGGCAACAATATCTCGTTTCTCAAAACAAATTTTATTCATGGCTTAGTACTGTCATAGTGCAGAAAAATTATGTCACCGGAACACTTTCAAGGAATGGGGCAAGAACATGATGGGCTCCAGGCAATGTAAACTTGCAAAAAAAAAATCAATTTTACGTTTCAAAACTTCTTCATTTGACTAAAGATTAAAGAAACAATAAGTCATTGAACTAGTTTAGTCTTTTGTAACCAAAATGGAAAGTAGTTTGATCATCAGATTTTAAAGGTTTCACTTTCAAAATCTATTTTTAAAAATTTTAAATGTTACACCTTTATATTATCTTTTATTTTTTTGGTCAATACTTCCCAATTTCATTGTACAATCAACATTAATATCGTCTATAGACAAAAATAAACTGTGAAATAAATAATTTCACATAAACTACTGATAAATTCAGAAGCACTTGCCATAAAAACTGTGAGTATACGTCAATATACAAATCAATTAAGAGAACCAAAAAATACCTGGAGTTCGAGTTTGCGCTGCACAGCTGCTGGACTGGTGGCGGACCGCGGACGGACTGGCCGAGCGGCGGATTGCTCGAATACTCGAAGTAGTCGGACGGAAGTTGTTGGCTTGTTGAGTTACGACGTCGCTGCGGCCTGCGCTTGGAATCAGAAGAAAATCAGATTGAGTTAAATGGCTAATGGGCTTGAACGGTAGGACTCGTATTTTACCATTTGGACTGGGCTGCTTATTTAATCAACCCAAAATAAATACCGTCTCCGTCCCTAAAAAAATTCCACTTTCATTCTTTCCGTTCCAAAAAGTTTTTCACTTTCTATTAAAAAATTATATTTATCCCTATTAATTTTTGTCTTATGTACTCGTATTACTCTTTTCATCTTAAATTAAATGACATATTCATTATTCACATTCCAAACTGTATTCATCTTCTTTATCTATTTTTGTTTGTCATTTGATAAAATAATATAGTCATGTCATCACTTGTTTTGTTGATCTTTTGATGTACTTTTTAAATATATAAATCTTAGTTGTTAATTTCACCCCTATTGTCTTATTAGTTGAATGGAAAATAAATTTTGTTAAACATCGTAAACTGAAACAGGTCATTTAAAATGGGATGCAGAGAGTACATTATATTTATCCACTACTAATCTATCAATCATACCATATTTTAACTCATCATATCAACAGTAACTTTGAAAATCCAAAAACAAAAATATCCCTCCTCTAAATTTCATAAAAAGATAATTCACAAGAGAGTTTTTGGGAAGGCGTAAGTATCGTCTAGGTAGTGTTTGATAATCTATACTTCTTATTGCATTTGAACAAGTATCACACCTATGTGTTATACGGCTCGTATTTATCAATTTATGTAATGAAAATATATTGGTATCATTATTGAAAAATAGTAATGCTAGATACCACGCACACCTCTAGATGAGGTGAATAGAGGTGTTGCCCAAATGGCTAATTTTTTGTGCGCAAAAGCCCTTGAAAAATGCTCGATCAAAACCAAGGCACCACAAAAAATATAAAATGAAGGAAAATAACAAAGAACACACCGATGTGTACTAGCTCGGCTTAATGCCTACATCCAATCTCCGAAGCAAACATGCTCGAGCCTTCATTACTAGGGCTGTGCATCGGTCTAAACCCGGACCGACCCGGACCGGACCGGGACCGAATAAGAGCGAACTAATGGACCGTAGACCGGACCGACATAGTGTGAGACCGGACCGGGACCGGACCGAATAAAATTGGACCGGTCCGAACCGGTCCGAATAAGGACCAAATAAGGGGTTATGATTCCATGTCAATGCTGCCATGCTGGAATTGATATGGTTATGATTCCATTCAACTATACAGAATTCATCAATGGTCTAAAAAAAGCTACTATAATTTTTTTGAAGGCTTTGAAAGACTTAGTTTTTTTTATTCATCACTAAAAATGACTTATAATTATATAATTTAAAGATATCATAAATTCAATATCAATAATGTAAAAAAACATGTAAAAAATGTTTGGACGGAGTGGACCACTGCTATTGGGCGACCGACGACTGGACGGAGTGCGTACCTGCGAAACCGGTGGACGACTGGACGGAGACACGGAGTGCTGCGAATTGCGATTGGAGACCTGCGAAACCGGTGGACGACTGGACGGAGACACGGAGTGTTGCGCCTGCGGGAGTGCGTGACCTCACTGACCTGCGTGTCCTTTGAATTTCTCCGGCGAGAATGCGAGATGGCGACTGCAAGTTGAGAACCCCAATTATGTGTGGATTTGGGGATTTGCTACTGGAGTATGGAGATGTGGATTACTAAACTCAATTGGACTGGATTAAGGTGGATTATTTGGGGTAACTTAAGCCCTAAAGCCCATATAATTAAGCCAATATTATATACGAGTATATATAATCGGTCCACCGGTCTCACTGGACTTGGACCGGACCAGACCGGAACCTGCATAAAAGAAATTGATGGATCGGAAACCGGATCGAATTAGGACCGGTCCGGACCGATTCGGTTTTGGCCGGTCTTCGGGTCAGTCCGGGTTTGGACCGAATAATGCACAACCCTAATCATTACCAACTTGTCAAACTTAACGGAGTCTGACATACAATCCGAATACAACTCAAGAATTTGATTTCGCAAGCCTCTGCTCTTACCACTGAAGCCTTGATTTCACAAGACTCGAGATTTCTTCCACTAACATTTTATTTCACAAATCATTAGGATTTCTACCACTTGGTGTAATCCCAATACCAAGAATACAAATCTCTTACAAAAAGTAAGAGAACGAACCATAACCAAATAATTCTCCCAACACAGAGTAGATTGCTGCAAATACAATGAGGTTCTATTAAAGATGACACAATCTCTCAAGGATTCAAGCAATGAGGATGGTATACTCAAGCAAGAAAGGATGTAGCAATCAAAAGTTCAAAACAATTGTCTTGTTTGGATATGTTTAGGGGATTGAGTTGAATTTCTTTGGATAATCAAAGGATGTGATATGATATTTGTTCTTGATGTTCTTCTCATGATAATCAAGAAGTGTGGAAGTTTATAGAAATTGGGGAGTGGTTATGCATCAAAAGGTTTGGGAAAAAACTAAATGTTTAGAGGTTGAAACTACTTGTTTATTCGAATACGACCTCATTTATTTGAATAAGATAGAGAGTTTCTGTGACCTGTAAAATGATGCACTTATTCGAATAAATACTGCATTATTTAAATAACATAGTGCATTTTTCAGCCATTGAAAAAACGTCGTATTCGAATAAACCAAAAATTATTCGGATAGAAGAACAACTTCTCCACACAAAAGATGATCGAAAAGATGTTTCGAAGGTAGGATTATCAAGGAATGAACATTAGAGATGCCACACTCTTTAACACACATTCTAAGACCTAAAAAACTACATAACCAAGGAAACTATGTCTTTGGTCTTGATATTTCAACGGATGCAAAAAGTCCCTTCTTCAGAAATGGATAGAAACTATTTGTACCTTTGATTCTTAGCCTTAATGCACAATATGATGGTGGTCTTTTTCACCTTTTTATCATTATCAAAACCTAAAAGACAACGGGCAAAGGACATCATAAATATACATCACTAGAACTAGAGTCATATTGGTGAATCCCCTTAATAATAATAATAATAATAATAATAATAATAATAATAATAATAATAATAATAATAATAATAATAATAAGAGTAATTCTCAAAATAGTCCTTTGTAATAAGAGATTTTCCCAAATTAGTCCTCAATAAGTTTTAATTACCTACATTGTCCTCTATAATTGAGATTTATTCCCAAAATAGTCCTTTGTAATAAGATATTTTCCCAAATCAGTCTTCAATAAATTTTAATTACCTAGGTGATCCTCTATAATTGAGATTTATCCCCAAGATGGTCCTTCATAAATAATGTTATTCAAATGAGGATTAATTAAGGATATTTTTTCTCTGCTAAATTTAGAATTAATTTTTAAAATAATCATTTATAATGAAGTGCTTTCCCAAAATGGTTTTTCTAATTAAAGATGTGTATTTGATTTGAAATTTAAAAGATTTTTTAAGTTTTAAATAATTCATAAATTATTTATGAGTAAATTCTCAAAATGGTCCTTTGTAATAAGGTGTTTTCCCAAATCAATCCTCAAATGAGGATTAACTGGGAGATATTTTGGTATTTTGATAATCCAAATTTAAAGTATATTTTTGAAACAATCATTTCTGTACAACTAAATGTAAAATTTAAAAAATACATTGAGTATAAATAATTTATGAATTATTTGAAACTTAAAACAAATCTTTTAAATTTCAAATCAAATACACATCTTTAATTAGAAAAATCATTTTGGGAAAGCATTTCATTATAAATGATTATTTTAAGAATTAATTCTAAATTTAGCAGAAAAAAATAACCTCAATTAATCCTCATTTGAGTAACATTATTTATGAAGGACCATCTTGGGAATAAATCTCAATTATAGAGGAACACCTAGGTAATTAAAACTTATTGAGAACTGATTTGGAAAAATACCTTATTACAAAGGACTATTTTGGGAATAAATCTCAATTATAGAAGACCATGTAGGTAATTAAAACTTACTGAGGACTAATTTGGGAAAATCCCTTATTACAAAGGACTATTTTGGGAATTTACTCTAATAATAATAATAATAATAATAATAATGATAATAATAATAATAATAATAATTGCAATCATATTTATTAATAGATATTTATTTGGGAAAAACCCATCCTTTAATATAATAAAGGAGACTCGGATTCACGAGAATGCGACATTTGGCATGCCTATTTGGCAAAAATTGAACACGTCAGCGATGATTCCTTCTATGGCAAAAATTTAAAAAATTTATTTCCTTATATGGGATTCGCTGTATGATTCCTAAATCCTTGGCTGAAGATTAGGGATTTCTGTATGTGAGAAATCTATCGCGAGATGAAGCCTTCGAAATTTGGTATGTCCGAATTAAAATTTGCTAAGCCTTCACAGCAAATCATACGATTATGCCTTCAAAATTTGGTAAGTCCGATTCACAAATTTTGCCTTAGAAAGTCCTATTCACGATTATGATTTAGCTACCAAATTTAGGAGATTTCTAATTTCTTTAAGTATATATCCCATTGGCCTACATTCATTTCAATTGTGTTCTTCTTGATTCCAAACTTTTGCCTTGGAAAGAAAACTACAAGTAATTTGTTTGCTAAATCATCATGTCTTACAAGCCCATTCACCTTTTATCAAAAATCAATCTGACAAGTGAGTGTTGGAGGATTTGTGTTCGTGTGATACGGTTGTATACATTGTCTGCCTTCAATGATAACAAGGCAATAAACTCAATAGAGATGGTGTTTACAAGGAATTTACTTGTGCCACGCACGTATATTTATAGCATTTACAAGGAATTCTCACCATAATAAAGTCTTTCCTAAAATACAAAAGGTAAGTAAATAATTAAATGTGAAACTCTCCTAATAGGGCCGTGCGTTACTCCATGAATCATGCATAGCCATGAATGGTATGATATGATTTCTAAGAATAGATTATTTTCTTAACATATGGTGATTGACAAAATTTACGAAAAATATTATTAAGAAACAATTTTAAATAATACTAAATTTGAAAATTATGATCACGAGTATATTATTCATCACCTTACTTATATTACGTAGGTGTTGATGCCGATTGAATAATAGTTGAGTTTTTGAATGAAATCAAATGTTCGGGAATCCCAAACCACAAAATAGTCTTGAAAAAGGGGGTACCGATTATGGTATTGAGGAACATTGACCAAACATCTAGGTTATGCAATGGGACAAGATTAATCGTTCAAGAGCTGCGAAATAATGTTATGGTGCAATTGTGGTTTCGGGAAATCGAGTCGTAGAAAAAGATTACATCCCTAGAATGAAATTGGTACCATCTGATCCAGGGCTACCCTTGAAGTTCAAAGAAGACTATTCCCGATCGCCTTATGTTTTGCTATGACTATCAACAAAAGTCAAGGTCAAACATTGTAATTTGTGGGATTATTTATGACCAAGTCGGTGTTCACATATGGTCAACTTTATGTTGCTGTTTCATGAGTGAAGATAAAGACAGGATTAAAGATATTAGTTCTAGATGACAATGGAAACCCCTACAACCATACCAAAAATGTTGTATACCCTGAAGTCTTTCAGAATATTGGTATTAAAATAAACATTGTTAACTCTACATTTAGTTCCTCAAATATTATTTATTTTACTTTGGCATTTTTCATCTGTAGTATTAAAAATCATGTGAGCAATATATTTTCTTTATACTGAAAAATAAATTTGATTGAAATAATTCAGAATCGACAAAAAATTTGTTCGACCCCGTGCATTGCACGGGTCAGAATACTAGTAAAGAGAAAAAACGAAACTCTCCGTCCTCGCTCCAATCGCCAAATCTCTCGCTGAAAAAGACTCCACAGTGCACTCGCAAACTAATTCATTGTACAACAAAGATTTATCTTTCTTCAAAGACTAGCTCTGTTTCAATACTTATGCACCAAGATGATCCTTCTAACTAATAATGAGCTTGCGGGAGATAATATAAATATTATAAAATACGACAAGAATCTTTTAACCTGAGCCAAATTGAACTTAAATGACCTTGGCATTTTGAGACACTACAGTGCTTAAATGACCTTAAACCAATCAAATTAGACAAACAGGATGCAACCTTACACATATGAAGTCCCAAACCCTGTTTTATCTCATTCGAGACTAATTACGAGTATGTTCTCTTTGTATGATCTAAAATTAAAATTGATTGGATTTTTTAAGATATGATCTTAGTTATATTTAACGTTGATTCTAATTTGATTTATTCCGATATTTAAACCTGATTATGATACGAATAAGTAATGTTCCATATATAATGCTACGAAATAATAAGTTGTATAGAAGATGCTCTACTTCTTCGCCATGAATCATGTGCTATCGGTCACCAATGTCATATGACGAACCGAAGCTCCTACGACACTTCGTTTGAAAAATTGATGGTTCCTATCTCTCTGCACCCTACTAAATCCTCTCTGCCCCCTTGTTCTATAGCCAATCGGCCAAAGGGAGGAGGTGCAGGGGGGGCATGAGAGCTTTGAGAAGGTTAGAGGTATGAACCATTATTTTTTTGAACGGGACACCATAAGAGCTCATGATCATCGTATGATATTAGTGACCAAGGTCACACGAACCACCCCGCTCTAGGGCATGAATAAATACCCTAAACATAATTCTGTTTTTTAAATGACTAAATGAGTCAAGAAAGAGCATCCAATATGAGTTCAACATACATTACACCAATACAAGTCGTGTCTCAATTCTAGTGTACTTGATCATTCGAAAAGGCCGACTAAGCATCACTGGCTTGGTTATTCTTATCCAATATTGATTAGAGAGGTTCATCAAAGAGTATTTTTAGCTTTCTCTGGTATTTGGCCCAAAATATACCCACTCATTTGCGACTTTTTTAGGGGCATGCTAGTGGTACATCAAAATAGGGTATCCCATTTATATACCAGGTAAACACAGACAAATACAAATACTTAGTACTTGGTCCGTCCCTGAGTGTTTGTTCACTTTTGACTTTTGGAACTGTTCATCTAAGCACTTTGACTCATCAAATTCTCTCAATGTGTAAGCCTAAAAATAGTCATGTGTGATCTCGTTTGATTCGTCTTAACATATAGATTATTAATATATAATTTTTATAATTTTTTAATATACAAATTACAAGATAAAATGGATTAAAGAAGTGCATTGGATGATGTGCAAAAATGATAGTGGACAAATACTCAGAGACGGAAGGAGTATTTGTGATTTACAGACATTTAGTGTCTGTCTTTGTTGTGTTCGCCTGATGTACAAATGAGTTACCCTATTTTGATGTACCCCAAAGTTTATTGTTTTTTTATCCAAATGCAAGCAATCTCCAATTAGGGGAAGATTATTACTTTGGCACTTCAATTTGAGTTATACGGAGTGCTGGTTAAAAAAAACAAAAAAAGGGTATTGTACAAAACCAAAAAAAGGAAATCAGTAATCGGCTTATCTCGGAAGTCGGAACAGAGGCGGCTCTACACGAAGCAGCAGCAGAAATAGGGCTAGGGAGACAGGTGCGTCAAAATCCTCTCTCCTCCCCGGCCACTTTCCACACGGTAGCTCCGCTATTGAGTTAGCTCGCTCTTAAGCTAGTCAGAGTCGGAATGCTAAAAGTCCTTTACTGCGCGTTCATCGATCAGTGTTTTTGTCTAATAAGCTGATTATGCGATCAGATTTTGCTTTTTTTTAGGACTGTTGTCTCAAAAACCAATGAAAATTTTGGATCGGGTGTTATGAAATATGTAGGAGCCTGATGGTATGATCTGATTCAACAAATAGCAATTTTTCTTATCGGATGAATATTGGAAACCTTACTTGTTCCACCATTTCCGCATCATAATCAGCTTTCTGAAAGCTATTAATTCCACAAGACAAATTCCAGTTGATCGAAGTTCTTAGGTGTCATTTTGTGCCACCTGATTTGGAATTAGGAGCTGATAATGCTTTTTAGTTTTGGTGAGAGGAGGAGATGATATCGTTAAGACGTTAACACCCAGAGAAAATAAGAATATTTATTTCAGTAAAGTCGTGCTGAAAAGTCAGAAGCCTAATATTAGTGTTCTTTGCAGACAGTATTTAGGCTTTACTAGTATGATTGAGTGGTGTTAGGTGATAGGGATTTCAAAAAACCTTTTCCTTAGCATTATAAGGAAAAAACTAGGGCCATAAAGCTGATAGTCAGAACTTATCAAATCAAGAATGAAAAGGAAAAGAGTCTCCCCCTAATTGATTCTTCATCTCTTATTTATATNGGAGAATAAAACTTAAATGATTGGGTATGTATTTAGTAGCATCTTTTTATGAATTCCAATTCCCTCATTTTGAATTTTTATGTGAAATGTAGCTTCAAGTCTGATTCAGTGGAAAGTTAGCAGTAATGATCTGATGAACATTTTTTGAATAAATCTGTTACTTGAGCAAATTGGGCCAGTACAATGGATACACAATCATCTAATGTATCAAATGCACATCCTCTTGAGACTGCTGTTGTGGAAACCTCCAATGTAAACTCTGTACCAGCACATGATGGACCTTCTAAGCTATCCACATGGGCTAAAAGTTTAAAAATTCCACAGCCATTTACAGGATCCCAAGAGGAAGATAATTCAGGAAATGTGGTAAAATCATCCTTTGCTCGTTTTACTAGTGGGTTTGGATTGCGTTCATCTCCAAAGTCACCAACAGATGATAATTCTGAAGGAACTTCAACGAATCCACAACCTGGATTTATTGGAACATTTACGAAAGGAATAGTTGACTCTTCCAAGAATGCAGTTAAGGCTGTATCTGTCAAGGCTAGACACGTTGTTTCTCAGAACAAACGAAGATACCAGGTGAGTTGTGATTGTCTCATGTTATATTAATATCATCATTTATTTAAATTGGACACATGAAACTGCTGTCCAGATCTGGAAAGTGCATGGTCATCTTGCGATTTCCTTGTATGTCGTTTGCATGTGCATATGTTATTTGTATTGAAATGGTACACACAAGGCCATATTTTTACAACACAGTTTCTTTTCATAGGAAGGAGGGTTTGATTTAGATTTGACATACATTACTGAGAATATAATTGCCATGGGCTTCCCTGCTGGTGATATGAGTTCCGGATTTTTTGGGTATGTTGAGGTGAGTAAACTGTGTTTCTCAACTGTTAGCAACAATGAACTGCTTTTGCATTGTTTAATTAGGAGTGTAGAACTAAATTGAAATGCTCTGGGATATAGGGATTCTATCGTAACCATATGGAAGAAGTGATCAAGTTCTTTGAGACTCATCATAAGGTACACTGATTTCAATTCTATCTTCTTTCTAGATATATATTTTTATTGTCATTGAGTGTTACCTTCTGTTATTATATTATCTAGGATATTTTTTTTCAATTTTTTTCATTGCAACTGTTCATGGCCTCATGGGGATACTCGTATTGTTCTCTTTTACCACTGTTTTGCAGGACAAATACAAAGTATACAATCTTTGTTCTGAGAGATTGTATGATGTCTCATTATTTGAGGGAAAGGTGAGTTATCAGTTCCTTTTCAGGAACCTTTACTGCATCTTTTTTATAAAAGGGAATGGGTGTCTCTGCTACATTGCTAATGGAGTATTATAATTTGCATTTCTTTTGATCCACCTCCAGGTTGCTAGTTTCCCATTTGACGACCACAACTGTCCACCTATTCAACTCATAATGTTGTTTTGTCAAAGTGCATATTCATGGTTGAAAGAAGATATTGAAAATGTTGTGGTAGTTCACTGCAAGGCAGGAATGGCAAGGACTGGATTGATGATCTCAAGTCTTCTTCTGTATCTGAAGGTACATTATATTTTTGTTATACTGTTATGGTGTATACAATGATGGCAAATGGAAAATAATTAATGATGTGAAGTTGGAGGTTGTCAAGTGGTTGGACTTAGGGTTGTAAACAAACCAAATTGAATCAAATACCAAGCTTTTTGAATTTGTATTTGTTTAATTCTTTCGAATATGAATTCAAATACGAACATGAAACAAATTTTAAATGATATTTGTATTTGTATTTGATTGATACTCAGATATTTAATGAATCTCAAATGAATATTCAATGGGTGGTAGTCATGATTTAAATGATGACCAAGATCGATTTTGAACCCTTTAATTTACGGCTTTTCGTATACTATTATATCTAAAAAATATTAATGCAATTCTGTCAAAGAAATATTATGTTTGACAAAATATAACTATTGAAAGTAATACGGAGTACATTTTAGATTTTTATATTATGCCAGTTTGACCAATTTTTAGTAATTTAGCTCGATGGAACAACACGGAAACCAATTTAGGTGCACTGTATACTATATTTGTTTCTTTGAATACTCATTTCAAAGAAACTTTGTGTGTGTGTGTGTGTGTATATATATATATAAATATATATATATATATATATATATATATATATTTAAATAGAGATTTTATTCGAAAAAGGAGAAAAGTACAGAAAGTGGGGGTGGCCGACCCCGACAAATGGCCAAAGAAAATGCCAAAATGCAAGAACAAAAGAAAAGTCCAAACAGATCTAAAAAAAAAGGGGAAGGGGACATGGCTACAAGTACAATCCTAAAATGTCTTCTTCCTCTTGACCCTAACTTCACAGCAACATCGGCTAGTGAAGAGGACGCAGCCCACTGTGATTGTCTTCCGAGTAGCCAATGATCCAGCATTGAGAACCTTCAAGTGGCAGCTTCAAATCCCATACCTTAATTCTGTAGGTTTCCTCCTAGAAAAGTTTAAAGCATATAACCAGTAAAACCACACCAAAGCCTAGAAGAGCCAATCCCTCAAAAATCTGGATTTTCCGTTCACCAAAGTCCAGGGCTACTAAACCTACCATCCTTCAAACTCATTGCAGGACTTTGTGACTACTGCCACAGTAGGGTTAAATTATTGCAAGAAACCTATCCTAAACAGTATTGCCAAAAATATAATAAACTAAGAGAACCAAAAAACACCCTAGAAAGGCTGAAAATAAAACACTGAATGAAAGTGAAAACTATCCTTGGCCAAGATGTGTTCTGCATTCATTCTTGAACACGACACAGATGATTGAGCACTACCTTCATATCCTCCTCTGCATAAGCGAGGAATACCGGATACTTCGCTCCTGAATTGTTGCTGCATCAATGAATTTGAAGCTCTTCATTGCTTCTCTAGTGACCCTGATGACTTCCCCTGAGAAACTGAGTATCTCACCCTTGTTTTGAGCTTGCAAAAGTCTTTTGTTTGCTACTGATCTCCGGAAAAGGTTAAGGTTGTCCCTAATGATTTGATCGAGTATCTTCAGACAATCCTGATCGATTAGAGGCTCTGCATCTGGAGTGTGTTTGGTAGTACCTTCCAGTTCTTTTTTCATTACAGAGTCAATAAGGAGCATATTTCCACGTCCCTTCCTATCTTCATCAACCCTTTCAGAAGTGAGCACTCTACTGGAGCATCTCCATTCTTCGTTCTTGTCATTTTTGAGCTTCCTGCAATCTCCTTCATCACTGTATGGTAGTGGCAGATGGTCACTCTGAGTACATCTCCCTTCCGAGGACCGACCGTAAGAGCTCAGCTAAACCCCTGCTAAATTTTTTTTAACCCTTCTAAAGAGTAACCAGCCGGTATGAACTTTCGTTTGAGTAATCAGGCCTACTTAGAACATCAATTAGCCAAGGGGCAAGAGTCTTAGCGATGGATAGATGGCGGATTTTACCTGATTTTGATTCGGAGATGATGATGCTGTGCCCTTCATACGATAGTTCGAAGTCTTTGCTTTCAATAGAGTGAAATGACTGAAATCTGACCAGCTGCACTGATATTTGGGCCAGAGTTCCGTCTCCTCCAATATCGGCTCTTCAGATTTCTTCCAGAGGTGAGCTGATGGGCGAAGCTTGGGACTGTAATAGTGGGGTTCCTCATAGTACCACGATCGTGACCGGAGAGATGCCCTTACCTTTCTCTTATCTTCAGCATGTTCGAGCTCTGCCCGGCGATCTATGTGATTGGATCGCTGCCAAGGAGCGGCGTTCCCCCTTCTCTCTACAACCCTATACATGACACACACCCACCCACACACACACACACATACATACATACATACATAGTTATATATTTGTATATACACACACAAATATGATCCGAATAGGATACTCTTGCATTTGTATTCCTTTGACATTTGAATCAAAAGTCAAAACTCATACTTGAATTTGTATACGTGTTTGACATATTCAAATTTGAATTTGAATGTTCATATTAGAATACGAATCATGAGTCAAACTAAAATTGTTTACTTTGTTTACAACCCTAGTTGGACTACAAGTATTTCTCCCTCACTCAAATTCGATCCCTCCCCGAAACTCTCCCTATCCAATAAACCCCCTGGATCAAACAAAAACAAATAGATAAATTATGAAGGGCAAATGCAGTGATATCTCCACTCTTCCTTTGCTTGTGCTGGGCAGTTGGACTTTTGTTGTGAGTAAATTGTGCTTAACCTTATCTTCATGCAGTTCTTTCCAACAGCTGAGGAGTGTATTAACTCTTACAACCAGAAAAGATGCATTGATGGAAAAGGCCTTGTTCTTCCCAGTCAGATTGTACGTGAACAGAAAATTTTAAACTCTTTCAACATCTATTTATTAAACTAGTTATCAATGGTGATTTTTTATTTGGTGATAGAGGTATGTCAAGTATTTTGAACGTATCTTAATGTACTTCAATGGAGAGAACCAGCCTGCACGCAGGTAAATTTATCCCTGTTCCAAGTTTAAATGCCTTGTCACATTCTTTTTTCAGCTGTTGAAATCCTTATGGAAAGCATCCTCTAATGCAGTACTGGTCATCTCCTGTAATCAGGAAAAAGTACATCAGGAGGCAGAATATAGGAATTTTTTTCTGTTGCAATCCACTGATTGCATCCAGTGCTTTGTTTGTTCTTGCTCAATGAGATTATTGCAGGTGCATGCTTAGGGGATTTCGACTCCATAGATGCCCCTTTTGGATAAGGCCCTCGATTACAGTCTCTGATCATAATGGTAAGATGAAATCTCTCTCTCTCTCTCTCTCTCTCTCTCCTCTCTCTCCCACACACACTACACCCTTTTAAGCTATAGGATGAAACATTTTATTGCTAGCTGTCCAATCATTCAATCACATCCTGTAATATCATTTACTCCGTATATGCTTATTGTATTATTTGAATGCTTGATTTAATAATAGATTAATAGAATGAAATGATTTATTTCTTTTCAGGTGTGCTTTTTTCATCAAAGAAACACCCAAGAACTAAGGATATGCTGGTGGGTCATGCAGTTTATATAATTCTCTGCTAAATAAATTCTTAATCATTACAAGGCATTGTGCTATATTTTACATGAAAATTCGATGGCATTGAAAAAAATGATCATAAAGCTGACTGGGCTAAAGAACTTGTGATTGTAGTATTGGATTTTTTATTAATTAAAAATTGTACGTTCCATTTGGCAGCCTGAAGACTATTGGTTTAGTGCACCAAAGAAAGGGGTAGTGGTTTTTGCCCTACCTGGGGAGCCTGGCCTTACAGAGTTATCTGGGGATTTCAAAGTCCATTTTAATGATCGGCAGGGAGACTTTTACTGGTATATTTGTATCTCTACTTCTGAAGTTTAAGAATATCTTAGTGGTTTGAAGTGTAATGTTGGCCTACGACATATCGTATTTAGGTGAAAGGTCATACCCCGCAAAGTGCACTTAACTGGTTAAGATGACATCATTTTGGATTTATTAATAACAGTTGAGATGTCATTTAGGTTTCCTATTAAGTAATAAGTATCTGTGCCTATGTGATTCTTGATCCAGAGGTCTTTTGGGAACAACATCTCTACTTTCGAGCAGCGGTAAGGGGATGTGGGATGCTAATGGGTTGTTGTATCAAGTAATAAGTATAGATGAAATGTTGCATTTAATTATTGTGTTTTTTTCTCTTTAAAACAGTATCAAATTTCTATTTAACATGCAGTTGTCATGTAAACTATTCCCTCCTTCAGAGTGTATTTGTCTAGGTGGGACCTATTCAGTCAAACTAGATGAACTTTAAACATCAATTACCATTGCATATTAATACAATGAAATAATTTTTCAAGGTATTTTGCAAGACAAGTCTTATGAAATCATTTTTATACTAATATGCATTGCAATTTTCATTTAATTGATGATCAAAGTTCATCCAGTTTCACTTGCAGTCACAGTGGACGAATATGCTGGAGCGGAGGAGGTATAAAACTAATGCGTAGTATACATTTTAAGTCAAATGGTAGAAATAGTACTCATCCGTCCCATATTTTAAAAAGCATCAAATACAATTATATTTTAAAATTTAAGTCGTTTTAACTGAATTTTGACAAATTCAACTTGTTCTAGACTCATTTGTTTTGGGGAGAAAATAAGTCTTCAAACAAGACTCCTGTTTTAGGATGGCGGGAGTACAAGTCATAATGGCTTTAAAAGAAGACATTTTTATAGAAACAAAAATTTTCAGGCCGCAATTGAACTCCACCCATGCCCGCCTAGCGCATAGTGCCTTTTAGAACATAGGTTACAGAGAAAGAGAAGACCGGGCAAAAAAATCATGCCGTAAATGGTAATCCTTTGAAATTTTGAGTCTGCGTATCACACTCTAATTGGGTTCTGTCTTTTTCCTCTCCATTCAGCTGGTTAAACACAACAATGATTGAGAACAGGAAAATCCTCAACACTAGCGATCTTGATGGTTTTGACAAGGTAACAGTAACACCATGTGTTACTGGATGATATATACGTCGTCACTAACAGTTTTATGGAGTATATATTCTTTATTTGCTTATTTGATGGAATATTTCTTCCAGAGAAAACTAGCATCACCTGGTTTCCAAGTGGAAGTTGTGCTAGCGGATTATGACACGGTTTTCCCAACTCGTTCTCAACCAGAAGCTGATGTTAGTAGTAAATCATCTGATACTTCCAGTGTCAATCCTTCCACTGGGCCGACCACTCCTAATGACACAAACTCAAGCAAACAATCAGTTGGAAGCAATGAGAAGGATGACGTGTTCTCTGATAATGAAGCTGAGGAAACTGGAAAGTCGAAAGACAGACAAGTCACCGTTGCTCCTGAAAACTCTTCAGGGAATAATAGCGGTAATAATAATAATAGTACTGGTACCGGCACACCTCAAATCTCCAGTTTAATGCATAAGGCAGAACAAGTTTCACTGGGAGATTCGGGGCTCAAACATAATGACCAGAAGAAGGATGATGTAGCTCCGGCCCCTGAAGCTTCTAATGCAGGAGGAGTCAGTGACTTCAAGATCATGGCTGCGGATGCTTCTGTGTTTACATTTGGAGATGAAGAGGATTACGAAACTGAGTAGGGGCTTTCAAAAATTCCAGCTTGTACAAAATTTGTACATTATATTACCGTTTGGATCCAGGCTATCCAGCTTGATATCTCTCTGTTATATCCTTTAAAGTTAGAAAAAAAAGGAAAGAATATATATGAAATTGTGCTAGTAGTTTTACTCGGTCTTCACTTGTGAAATTTGGAGATTTGTTCTTGTTAGAGATGTTCAGTGTGGAAAATTTATGACATTATTATTCTCTTCGTCCCAATTTAAATTGTCTCTTTCGGTTTACGATGTTTGATTGAAGTTACTTTTAAATCATTTTATATAAAAAATGGTGTAGAATTAAAAAATTAAAATTTCTTATTTAAAAACTACATAAAAAATTTACAAAATTAGGGGTGACCTAATTATATTATTTTATGAAATGACTAATGAATTTAAGGAAAGAAGTTGAATAGAGTTTGACCCTATGAAAAATAAACAACATTTTGTTCTAGAAGTGGTGGAGCTTGGGTAGATTCGAGCTCCACTTGGCTTGTTATCGCCATTTAGGCCATGTTTTTTTACCTGATCTGAATAGTTTTGATCTGACTAAAATATGTTTTGATGTGAGGTGGTTTGATTTGATCTGAATGTAGTTATATTTAAAGATGTTTCTGGTTTAGTCTGATTTAATCTTAATTAATTTCAATGAACAAAGTAATAAGAATAAGTTGAAGAGAACATAACCTTAACCTGAGTTCATGATTACTTTTACACCTCAACATGTTACTTTCCATGTTTAAAAGAGATTAGGCGTCCAAAAAGAATAATTATAGTATTTAAGAAACTATTTATAACGGTTGAAGAGTGATTTATGGTTAATTGGATTTCAAAATGGAAATTTGAAAAAGTATCCCAATGGTTACATTACCTCTTCCGGTAGGTAGGTACCATTCCAATGACTGAGTACCGTCCCAACGGTAGGGGGTACCGCCATAATAATGAGATACTGTCTAGCGTTCGCTGCCCTTTGCGGCACCTGTCCCGGTACTGAGATTCTCAATACCGTTTCAACGGTAAGGGGTACAACTATAGAAGGAAACTCAAATGGCGTTCCTTGGCCGTCCGGTGTCTGGTCCAGTACCATGGCACCTTAATGGCAACTAAGATGTTTAGTATGAAACATAGTTTTAAAAACCAGACCGGACCGACCAGTTCGGACCGTGAACCGGCGAACCGGTGGTCCAACCGGTCGGTCCTGCCCATTAGACCGTAACAAGCTTCGAACCGGTCCGAACCGGTTTAAACCGGCCGGTCGGACCGGTCCGACTAGTTTTTTTTTCTTTTCTTTTTGCAATCTTTTTCCAAAACTTCACTCCATGGGGATTTGAAACCAAGACCTCTTAGATATCTGATTGAATTCCTAACCATCCAACTAACGGTACTTGTTGTTACAAATTCATATTATATTTTATAATATTTCATAATTAATTAAAAAAATTCATACAAATAACTTTTCAATTTTAAAAATATAATACGTAGTATTATATAGATATGAGTCAAACACAAAATCATTGATATTTTTTTAAATAAAATTTTAATACCGAGTATTATTTTTTAATATGTAAATTTTATCATTTAATTGAGTAAAATAACTCAAGTATATTAATATAATTTTAGTCAAATATTATAAATTACTTTCTTTATGTATTTATATATGGGAATGTGTGTGTGTCTATATATATATATACATACATACATACATACATACATACATACATACATACATACATACATACATACATACATACATACATACATACATACATATATATATATATATATATATATATATATATATACTCCCTCCGTTCATAAATAAACTTCTCACTTTCCTTTTTCGTCCGTCCACAAATAAACTTCCCATTTCCTTATTTGGTAATATTTTTGTATTAAAAAGACTTATTTACCCTCATACATCTCCTCCATATCTTCCGTATCTTCTTTACTTCTTTCTGCCTACTCTCTCTTTCTTCTTTACCTCTTTCTTCGTACTCCCTTTCCACCACCCCCCATTCTTTTTCTTTTCTTCACTTTTTATCTTCTTTCTTTTCCTCTTCCTCTCCTCTCCGATCGTGTCCAGCCAGCAGCCCCATCTTCTTCTTTATTACTACAGTACTAACACTTTTTCTTCTTCCCACTCATACCAATTTTGTCCAGCCACTAAACCTATCACCATCTTCCTTTCTTCATTTTTTCTAATTTGCGGTGATATCCACATGGATGGATATGATGATTTCAGTATTCTTTTTCATTCAATCTTTTGGTCATCGAGTCTTCTACTTCATCAGATCTAAAGGAGTGAGTCTTGTTTTCGTTAGATCTGAAAATTGTATAGATTCTGTCCACCGAGATAGATGGTTGTCGGCCACTGGTGTTCAATTCGTAGAGGAAGAAGACTAACTCGAGGTCCTGACCATTGATTTCTGGTGGTGCCGGTGAGGAGCTGAAGAAGGACAAACTGGAATGTAGGTAGGGTGGCTGGTCGAGAGGTGTTTGGTGACAGGGAGGCTGGTTGAGTGAGGGATGAGAGAGGGGTAATTTGGGAAAGTCAATTGCATTTTCACTTTACCTAAATCTGCGTGCCCGGTCAAAGCGGGAAGATTAATTGTGGACGGAGGGAGTATATATATATATATATATATATATATATATATATATATATATATATATATATATATATATATATATATATATATATATATATATATATATATATAATTTTTAAATATGTTTAAACCACTGATTCGACCAGTTAAACCACTGGTTCGACCAGTAAACCAGTGAACCAGTACCTTGACCGGTTCGGTCACCGGTCCGGTTCTCAAAACTATGGTATGAAATAAAAGGGTTATCTTAACAAATTAGAGGTATAAATTATATTTAGAGACCATTTTAAACATAAAAAAATGTGTAAGAATGACTTAATAAAAAAATATTTTGTAGGAACCAATAATAAAAAATCATTTATTTTACAAGGACCAAAAATATATTTAACTTATTTTATTAAATAGTCATAAAAAATGTGAACAAACAAAAGTTAACTGAAAAACTAAAATAATAATTATTACATTCTTCTTTAAATAAAAGATGTACGGTGTATTTTAAAAGTTATACGAAGTAAGATTTTACCGAGTTTTTTTTATTTTTTTTGAAGGACCATGCTACACTTACATCAAAAATTATACCTCATTTGTACACCATAGTTACACACAAATATTTTGATGGTTTACACCGACACAAATGTTGGTGCATTAACAAAAATTTACACGGACACAAAGTGTTGGTGCGTTAACAAAAATTAGTTTTACACCAACACAAAATGTTGGTGCAAACCTGCGGTGTACAAATGTGGTACAAAAGGTTGGGGTACAAATAGCTTTATCCTTTTTTGAAAACGATTTTACGAAGTACTTGTTGGAAATTTTTACGTAAATTGGACTTTTTCGGACATTAATTCGGTAGGGTCCACAAAATTATTTTCCGAAATAATTATGGAAGTTTAATCTCGCAAGTAAGATGAATGTTTTGACATATTACACGCCATAAACGGTGTTCGGGTGAATGAGAAATTAATTCTCAAAGTTGAATATGAGGGAAGAGTAAAAACTCTTATCCCACACCGGTTTTTGAACCTTTCGTATTCTCATATTTAAGCTTTGGCATTTAATTGCGCTTATGAAAGGAGCAAGAAGAGGACTCCTCGCGCGCCGCCGCCAGCGCCGTCCGTCCAGTTCGACACGCACGCGCGCGTCGGGTCGGGGCGTGGCGTGGCGACGCGGGGCGACCGAAGAGTCACTTGAGACTCTTCGGTATATTCGTCCGGTCTGTCCATTAGCCAAACCTCCTCCTACTTAAGGAGAGGTTGGTTGAGAGAACAAAGGACGAGCAAAAACTTTCTCTCTGCAGTAACGTAAACTCTTCTGACGAATCCCCGGTTTCCGATCATCTTCTCCGACGATAACTTCATGTCGTTCTCGTTCGCCGGTGCTCTGTTCTACCGCTCTAGACTTAGCACGCTGCGGTTTTATCTTGGGAGGAGATTGCCCACATTTGCCAGTGCGGGAGGCGGGCAATACTACCTTAAGGAAAGCTCCGGCGACTCTGCTTTCCTTACCTATATTTCCAGAAACTGCTCTGGCGACCCGCTGCTTCCCGTCCGACGCTCCTACAAGCGTAGCTGTTCGTGTTCCTGCTCTGTCCGTTCTCCGTTCGAGCTTCTTGAAGATTCAATTTTCTTTATTTTATTTTTGATTGTAAAATCCAAACGATTTATAAGTTCGGATTATTATTATTTATTTTTCCGCTGTAATATTCAACAGTACTCCTTGATTCGCTTAGACAGCCATAGTACATTAAACCAAAACTTGTACCTATTTTGTACCAATAATTGTGTACCAACATTTTGTACTTGTGTGATGGTTTACATTAACAAAAAATATTAATATAATTTTTTTAATTAAACTAACATTTTATGTTATTGTGATACTCCCTCCGTCCCAAAATATTTGTCACATTTGCTTTTTCAGCAGTCGCGGGAACTTTTGTTTATTTTTACGTTTTCATTCGTTATTTGATACTCCCTCCGTCCTAAAACTTTCTTCCAACTTCCCCTTTTTCTCCGTCCTAAAACTACCTTCCCATTAGGAAAAAAAAGATGACAAATGACATTAATACCCTCATGTATTTACACCAATTATCTTCTAACTCTATATTTTGAATGATTGCAAAAAAAGAAATTCAAAAAATCTTTTTTTAAGGAGGGTAAAATTTGAAGTCCAAGCCAAAAATTAAAAATGGAGAAAAGTCAAGCTGAGAAGAAAGTTTTAGGATGGAGGGAGTAAAATAAAATATTCTTGACACCTCTTATTTCGAAGAACTTTTCATTAGTTTTTTGATATGTAAATTTTATTTTTTATTTCTATACCAATATGTAAATAAAATAAATTAAAAAATATTGATATTTTGCCTTGTAAATACAAGTGTGACAAATATTTAAGAACGAAGGGAATACAATTTAAGATGGTAAAAATGAACGTGCCGACGCGTCTTATGTCAATAGCAATGATACAAGGCATTTGCTTTTCCCACAGTAATGTTCTTTTTTCTGTACAACTACCTCATGTAAGTCTTTTATCTCCAGCAATTGATATGGCTTTTTCTTTGCCACAGTAAAATTCGCAATAATGACACACACTCCAAGTCGGGGTAGGGACGGCTTTTATACTCCCTAAATATTTGTCACACTTATATTTTCGAGCTAAAATATCAAGTTTTTCAATTCATTTTATTTACATATTGGTATATAAATAAAAAATAAAATTTACATATAAAAAAACTACATGAAAACTTATTCGAAATAAGAAGTGTCAAGAATATTTTATTTTATCAAATAACCAATGAAAACATAGAAATAAACAAAAGTTTCTGCGACTGCTGGAAAAACAAGTGTGCTAAATATTTTGAAACGGAGGGAGTACGTGGCAGTGTGTGTTAAGTTCATAGTTTTAAAAGCTGGATGAGTAATCGATCGAGGTACTGGGTCACTGGTCGAACCAGTGATTCAAACATATTCTATATAAATAACACTACAAATATAAATATAAATATAAATGTAAATATCAATATATATATATATATATATATATATATATATATATATATATATATATATATATATATATATATATATATATATGGGCACTACGGTAGCATCAATAAAATAAAATCAATTCTTCCCATAAGAGTTGTAACCTGTTAGGGCTGTTACAATTAAGAATTTATTCCTACTAGAAAACAATAGCCATATTTTGGTGTTATTCTGGCGTATTCTTGTGGTGTGAGTAGTTATTGGAACAAGAGGTTGGAAGTGTGAAATTTGAAATTTTAAAGTGATTTGGGATAGTGGTGACATTTGTACAATTATACTACTCACTCCGTTCCTCATAGATTTTCTCAATAGTCTTTTTCTTTGTCAACAATAGATTTTCTCATTTCATTTTTGAACAATTGAACTCAAATTTAATACTCAATGTATATATTATATTCATTTTCTTTAAACTTTTTTGTTCTATTATTTAATATAAGCTTTTAGCCAAAAACTTAATTTAGATCCTCTAATTATTCTATAAACTTTAGTATATTTGTCATTATATCTAATTTGAGTTCAAAGAGGTAAAAAGAGTCAAACTGAGATGATATTTTTGGAGAAAACTACTAAAATAGGACTACTAAAATAGAACTAAAACAAAGTTGAGACGTTTTTAAATTTTTTACGCATGTAATTTATTTAGACTTTTTAAATTTAGATATTGTGGAGTTTTTAGTTTTTACATATAACTTTTAAATTTTACTCCTGCACCTAACCCATCTAACTTTTCTCAACTACTACACCTAATTTATCTTATTTGTTTCGACAAATTCTTACATGGTTCAAAGGTTCATGTTTGTTTTATGGACCTTAGTTCATTGATATCATAAAAGAACTCGGGCTTATACAAAAAGGAAAAGATCCACTAGCCAGTCCATGAAAAATATGTAAAGATCCACATTTCACATGTAGACTTTAGGATCAAGCAAGAGAACTCATTTGTTTTGTTTTATGTATTTGGCAATATTCTGTGTTATTCTCTTTTCTGCGTTTAGTTCAACGAGAGTTCTGAACATGTGGGGTTATATATATATACCGTCTCTCTCACATATTCTCATTCAGAAATATACAATTATATTTCAACAAACTTTTTATGTGTCAAAAATTTTGACTCAAAAGTCGCCTAAATTAGAAGAATGAAATTAAAGTAGTTTTGTGGGGAGGGTTCGAGTCGAGTTGGGTCAGGGTGGGACTGCAGTGTTATCAAAATCGGATCGGACCGGCCGGTCCAACCGGTTGAACCGCGACCCAGTCACATGTCCGATCCGGTTCATTGTTGAAACCCGTTTTTGTGTTGGCCCATTCAGAACCGGGAAAACCACCGACCCGAATGACCCGGGTAGGACCGACAGGTTCTTGGGTTTAGATGAAATATACTAAAAAATAAGTGCCTGGCCCAGGTTTCGAACCCTCAACCCTTCGCCCCTCAAGATGGACTTGATCTACTTGATACACTTGAGGTAATAAATGTGACAAATAATTTGGAACGGAGGGAGTGCATAGTAACCTAAAAATATTCCTAATTATTAAATATAGAGAATACTCGATATGTTTATCATAATTTACTCTTTATTTATTTGATAAAATTTTAAATTAGTTCAAAGCTAAAAGTTAGTATTATTCATTTTTTATCTAAGTAATTATAAAACCTATATTTAAAATATTGATTATAATTTAATGTATTTCTTTTTTTTTCAAAAACTTTAAACAACTAAATATAAGTTTTAAAATGTCAATAGTATATAAGAACAAAATATGCAGTTTTTATGTTTTTGAAAAATGAGTACTTCTAAGATATTCACTATTAACTTGTACTCTGTAATAATAATAAAAATAATAGAATAAAAATCAAAAAGTGTAAAATGGTACGGAGTATATGTACAATGAAACTAAAATCTAGATGTAGAAGTAAAAAAATATAAATTAAAATGCTTTTATTTACTATATATATCGTCTAATAATATACGGAGTAATATAAAATATTACTTCATCCGTCCCACAAAGTTTTACACATTTTGACTAAATTGGAAATTAAAGGAGGGATAATTTTGTGTTGACTTTCCAAATATAACCTTGATTTGATGTATAAAAGTAGGATGTGATGTGTAGATTATAAGCAAAAAGGTATGATGTGATAAGTAGGGTTTGAAAAAGTAAGGGGTAAAAGTGGTTTTTTAATAGAAATGGGTAGGAGATTGTGGGACGCAATTTTTTTGAAAGGTGTAAATCTTTTTGGGACGGAGAGAGTATTATTTACATATATTTGACCGGGTCGTTGACCCCTGAGTTGTCCGGTTTGACCGGTTAGCCCTTGACCCACTCCCTTCTCCGGGTCGACGTTCGGTCCGGTTTTCAAAACATTGGGTGGGAGCTAAGTTTATCAAGAAATTAGGAAGATAGGAACTATCAATTTTGCATGCAAAGAGAGGACACCCGAAAAATGGAGTGAAACCGCAATGTCAAGTGAAAAGAAATACTCCTTCCGTCCGGAAATGTTCTTCCCATTTGACTTTTCACGGTTTCCAATATTACGCTTTGACCATTAATAGTACACTCTGTCTCAAGAGTGTACTATTTTTAGTGAGATAAAGAATGACTCCCCTCCTCTATCCAATATCATCATATTTATAGAGGAGGATTTGTGACCTTCCCCTGTTCATCCATGGACAAAATAGGAAGCTCGTGGGAAGGTCACTGTAGATAATGGAAGCACTGTACAATCATGGACTTGCTACTAATACAACCAAAAAGTACTGTTCAATCAAAGACTAAAATGGATATTCTCAATCCAATCAACCCTGCAAAATGACAAACATTCCTTTCATTGTGTGCCTCGTGATGGATGAGCGGCAGGGTGTCCCCTTGACCTCTGACGTGGTTCACCATGCCTAAGAGACTGGACCAATGTTAGCCAAGTAAAGTGATATGACCGGTCACCTTCTCTAAAAGGTTACCCGGTCATTTCTTGCGCTCAACCCGTCTCTTTGGTCTTCTAGAATGTCCTTCGTAGCATAAGGTGATATTTTCGCTATCGCCCAAAATGTGACTGATCACTTTTTTAGTGGAAGTGACCGGTCAACTTTTGACTCGTCCAAATCGAAGAGTTAACCTCATTTGGTGATTGATAAAAGTGACCGGTCATACTTTGACCTGTCCCTTTCGGTTGTCCGGGTCGGGTATAGAGATATACCCATCAAAATCATAATACAATGTGTTTTTTTCCACAAATTGTAGTCAAAGTTTATAAACTTTCCACAAATCATAGTAGTGTATTTTTGTTATAGGGAGTATTTTATTATTTGTGGAAAAATAATGGCATAGTTTGATGAAAGAATCAAACTAGGACAATAATTTGAGGGGGAGGGAGTAGATTAGAGGGCTTGTGTTTGTGTATATTTATATGGGCGGGCTTTAGAAGGTGATACACAAACATATAGTTTAAAGAGAGTGAGAATGAAAACCGGTTGGGGGAGAATGACGTCCTTTTCTTCTTCTTCTTCTTCACCAGCTGCAATAATAGTATTGATGTTGTGTTTCATTATTAGGGTTTCTTCTTCTTCTGCTTCTTCAAACCCAATCAGCAGTAGTACTGCTGCAGCTGTGGGTCGTCTTGGGTACGGATATGAGTACGTGGGAACTGTGTATCTAGATCAAGGTTCCATTTCCTGGTCTGCCCCTTGCTTCAAGGAGAACTCTGCTATATTAGTTCTGAAAAATCAGTGGGAACATTTTTTCTATTACACGGTTATTGTCACGGTAAGATTAAAATTCAGAAACCCAATTAAAAACAATACCTATAGAATACTACTCGTACTAGATAGCTGCTGTAAATAAATACTCCGTATAAAAAAATACTGCTAATAATAATAATAATAATTAATTTTCTTCGTTTCATCATATAATTAATCAGCCTCACTATGGACAATGTTGGACTTGTCGAGATGACTACCAATTCAAATTGGGAGATAAAAACGTGAAAACAGGCTCTACGTATTTTGGTGGTGTTGGAAATGATTTTGTCTTATCCATCTTGACGGAGGAAGTGGATCAGGTAAGTTTCTACTACGTACTATCTCTCTAATTAATTTTGATCATATTGATGATTCCATATACTTTCTCTATCCCATATCTTTTGATTTTTAAGAAATTTAAAAGCGAGATGTTTTTGGATTTACTTTTCAAAAGTACACTTCTTAATTAATTTGGTTAAGATAGGATGATAATTAATGACTTTTTCTTTTGTGTATATATTTTAGCTGAAAAATGAAGGGATACATATCTACGTGGATACGAACGCAGCTTGCAATGGTATTTCCAGAAAGACAATAAAGAATCCATTTGAAGATGTCGCACGTATTGCAATGAATTAAAAAAAAAAGAGTGTTCGTTGAATAAAGAGTCATTTTATGTCTTGTTGTGTTATAATAATAAGAAATGCAAGATCGTTATCCATTTCCACTTAAAATGGAGGATATTGAAGTTAAGTTGAATTTCCGATCCACTGTATTTTAATTTCTACATATATCCCTCAACTCCTCGAGTTGGTTCGAAAATGAGCATTATTCTACTTATTATAATAGGTTTCTACGTTGGTGTTATGCATTTTATTTGTTTGTTTGAACTAGTGTTTGAATCCGTGCGTTGCACGGACTAGATATGAGTTTTATGTGAATATACATATCTTCTGGAAACAAATCATTTTTAGAAATTCTTGCGTATTAAATATTCATAAGTTATTGAGTTAACCAATATTAATTCTTAAACACTAAAAAACATAGCTTTGAAACAATGATGTCAATTTTTATCTTCAAGCTATTGTCTTGATATAAAATTTATGTCTGCAGTTAAACATTGGAATCCAAATCTACGTTTGGTAACACAAAAAGTGACTTAGATATAACTAACCATGACTGAGAATTGGGCCGGCCACCATTTTCTCCAAAACCCTAACCCACTTACCCTTAGAGCACTGGTAATGGTCATGAAGCCCTGGGGCTTCAAACCGGGGCTTCAAATTTTCTCTCTGCCACGTCAGCTTTAACTTACACTCAAAATTCACTGGAAATGGTTTTGAAGCCCCGAGGCTTCAAACTGGGGCTTCAAACCTTCATTTTTTACATTTTTAAATATACATCTTCTAAATTTAAATTAATAAATTTAAATTAATTTATTACTTTAATTAATCGCAATGACATTAGTGCATAAAAAAATTAAATTCATTATAAAAAAAATATTACATTCATTAAAAAAACATTCAAAAAAAATTACATTCATTAAAAAAATTTACATAAAAAAACAACAGTACGTACAAAGAAATCACTAATTATCTGGACGTTACTAAACCCGCGTCGGCCTCTCGCATCAAACCGTTGGGTGAACCAAGGAACCTCGCGTTCAACATCGGCGAGTATGCGTAAGAAGAGAGGACGACTCATCCGAAAACGATTACTAAAATCCTCCGGTGTATAAACACACGGATTATTAAAGTAGTCGTTTAGAAGTGAATCGTGGGCGGCCGCTCGGTCCCGGTTTAGACGTTGGCGTCGCGTCCGTCGTCGGGAGGATTCGGCTTCTTCTTGGCCATCTTCCCACCATTGAATACAATTCATCGCGAAACAACGAAAAAATAAAGCTCTTCTTTCATCGTCGGAAGATGAACCCATTTTTAAATTATATTTTATAAATATTTATAATAAATAATAAATATTTTAGAGAGAATATAAAGTAATAAAGAGAGATGTGTGAGAGAGGTGTGAGAAAGATGTATGAGAAAGGGGGATTTTATAGGTTTTTTTAAATTTAGATTTTTTTTTAATTGAGGGGGGGGGGGGGTACCGGCTATATAGCCGTTGGGAAGGGGGGAGCCGCTGAAAAAACGCTGCAAGGCAACATCAAACTAATGACGCCGGAAGTCTCACGCCCGATCACGCCCGGAGGGGGGCGGTGTTTCACGCCCCCGGGGCGTTAAACGCCCGTTCACGCCGGCGGGCGTGAAGCCCATTTCCAGTGCTCTTACAACAATTACTTCATACTCTGTATGCGCCACTCTGCTTTGCTCTACTTTCTTTTTTCTATGGATGAGCCGCCCTACTGTTTCCAAGGGAGAGGCTATTATCTCCGGCGTGCTCCGTGCTCTTCGATTGCCTTTTTATCTGGGTAACCAGCTCTCCATATTAAATGCATGTATTTGTTAAATCTTTTTTTATTTGATTAGACATAAAGATTTCTTATTGTTAGCGGGTATTTGTAGTTTTGGACTGTAATTAGTGTATCGGGCCCACGTGTAACTCTAAGCCCGCTTGTATTTGTATATATACACTTGCTTGTGATTAGTAAAACCAGATCAGTTTTTATCAAATTTCTACATGGTATCAGAGCCAAACACTGGGCACGATACGTTTTTTTTCGGTGCTGATCTCGATCGACTCACGCCGTCAATCGTGAGTTTGTGTGTGATCGTGTGTGTGACCGGCGATTTCCCAGGCTAATCTTCGGCAGAAGCTGCACGGCGACCGGGTAGTGTCTCGGTTAGGTCCTCTTTGTGTCAAGCTTTGAAGATCGGCGATGACGTCCACCACGAAGAAAACTCGTTTGATTCATGATTCTTCGTCCGAATATTATCTCTCTCCTTCAGAGGGCCCAGGTAATGCTCTCACGAAGCATGTCTTAAAAGGCGATAATTTTGATACGTGGGAAAAGACAATTGTTAATGCGTTGAAGGGTCGTAGCAAGGCCGGGTTTTTGTCTCCCGTTGGTGTGCCTAAACCTACGGACCCGATGGAACTTGAGGCTTGGGAAGCCAATAATTCTACAATTTGCAGCTGGATTTTTAATAGTGTTGATGAAATAATTCAACCCAGTATTGCTTCCCATACTGTGGTTCATGAATTATGGACAGATCTGAAGGCTCGTTATAGCACAGTTAATGAGCCTCACATTTATCAATTGGAAAGTGAATTGCAAAATCTCCGTCAGAAAGGTCAAACAGTGGTTGTTTATTACAACCAATTTGTCACTATTTGGAATAAATTGTAAGGGATGGAAGATCCCACCTGCGGCTGCAAGTGTGAGGCGGCAGCACAGTTGAAAGATCGGGCAGAAAAATCAAAAACTCGAAAGTTTCTTTTGGGTCTTGATGATGAGCAGTTTGGTGGCATACGCGGCCAAATTCTTGGAACTCAGCCGTTGGTGGATCTCAATAAGGCATTCTATTTGATTACCCAAGAAGAACGAGATAAAAACGTTGTTCGTGCCAGAGATGACCACACAAATGCTATGGCCTTTGCTGCGCCACGAACGAACCCAAACGTGTATCAGTGCACCCATTGTGGCAAGACGGGGCATACTGTTGATAGATGCTATATGATTATCGGGTTTCCAAATTCGGGCAGGGGACGTGGCCGTCAATCATCCAGCCGAGGGGGAGGCCGAGGCAACCGAGGTGGGCGAACAGCAACACAGCCGCCGCCCACTGCCGTCGGACAGCACGGTGGCACAGGTGGTCCGTCAGCCCATGCAGCGGCCGAGACATCCTCCTCCCTCTCTGCATTATCTCCGGATCAAGTTGCCCGTCTCTTCTCCATGTTAGAATCATCGACCTCTTCTTCCAATAAGTTGCAAGGTACGTCCCATCCTACTTCGAGTGAGTGGCTACTCGACAGTGGGGCTTCTCATCATATGACAGGCACTTTATCTTATTTGACGGACATCAAATCCGTCTCTCCATGCACAATTAGCTTACCTGACGGAGCACGAGTCGTGGCGAACTCGTGTGGACGTGTGCATCTGTCTCCGACTTTGGTTTTAAATAATGTGCTTTATGTGCCGAATTTAAAATGCAACTTGGTTTCTGTGAGTTGTCTTGTCAACTCCAATAACTGTCATGTTGTCTTTTATGACCTTTTTTGTGTGATACAGGACCGAACTTCGAAGACGCAGATTGGACGATGTGAAGTGCGCAACGGAGTTTATGTTTTCTCTTCTCACGCCCAAGCGTCTAAAGCTGAGTCCGTTTCTTTGTTGCATCAGCGTCTCGGCCATCCTTCACCCCAAGTGTTATCTTTACCTCCTTTCAATAAAAGCACTGCTGAAATTAAAAATTTTCAGTCATGTGACATTTGTTTCTTTTCCAAACAAACTCGTTCTAGTTTTTCCCAGAGTACTAATAAAGCTGATGCATTGTTTGATTTAATCCATTGTGATTTATGGGGTCCTTATTCTCCGTGTTTGTCTACTGGTTCTCATTACTTTCTTACTATTGTTGATGATTTTTCACGAGCTGTGTGGGTTTTTCTTATTATTGACAAAACAGAAGTGACCAGTTGTCTGAAGCAATTTTTTCAAATGATTCAAACCCAATTCGGGAAAGTTATTAAAATTGTTCGTACAGACAATGGAACTGAGTTTGTGAATAAGCCTTTGCGTCAGTTTTATACCACCATGGGGGTTCTCGTTCAAACTTCTTGTGTTCACACCCCACAACAAAACGGGCGTGTAGAACGCAAACACAGACATATTCTTAATGTGGCTTGTTCATTAATGTTTCAGGCGTCTTTGCCTCTTGAGTTTTGGGGGGAGTGCGTCCGCACCGCTGTGTATTTAATAAATCGAACCCCCACTCCTTTGTTGCAGGGAAAATCACCATTTGAGTTACTTTCTTCAAAACCTCCAGACTTATCTCATCTTCGGGTTTTTGGGTGTTTGTGTTATGTGCGTCTAAACCCACGTCCACCAAATAAATTTCACCCCCGTAGCCTTAAATGCATGTTTGTGGGATATCCTACGGGAACCAAGGGTTGGCGTGTATATGATCTTGAATCTCACCGATTTTTCCATGCTCGTGACGTTTCGTTTGACGAAACAGTCTTCCCTTTTGCATTATCCACTACGCCAACCACTGTCTCCGAGGTGTCTCCGCCGCCAGCCCACGCCGATTTTCCCAGCGTCCAGGCCGTCGATCCGTCTCCCTCGCCGGCCGCCGTACCTAACTCCGGGCAGTCCCCACCCCTCACCGATAGCGACGGCGAGTCTGGCCCGGACAGTCCGCCGTCGCCCGTCCGTCCAACCCGTGATCGAAGGCCCCCCGCTAAGTTTTCCGATTATGTTTGTCACACCGCCCGGACATATACTCCAGTTGACACTTGCATTGTTCCGTCTAAGTCTTCAGGTACGCGATATCTTATCTCACTATTACTCGTCCGGATATTTGTTATTCTGTTCATGTTTTATCTCAGTTTATGCAGGCTCCCACTCTAGATCACATGAACGCTGCCATGCGTGTTCTTCGTTACATCAAGGGTCACCCTGGTCAAGGTATCTTTCTCAGCGCCACCAGTAACCTTCAAATCTCGGCGTATTGTGACTCAGATTGGGCCAGCTGTCCTTTATCTCGACGTTCTGTTAGCGGGTATTTTATCATGTTGGGTACATCACCAGTGTCTTGGAAAACGAAGAAACAAACCACTGTCGCTCGTTCCTCTGCAGAGGCTGAATACAGGGCTATGGCAAATGCTTGTGTGCAGATTCGTTGGATGAGAGGGATTCTCATGGCTTTAGGCGTACCTATTTTATATCCTGCCAGACTGTATTGTGACAATCAGTCAGCTTTATATATTGCAGCTAATCCAGTTTTTCATGAGCGAATGAAGCATATAGATGTTGATTGTCACACTGTTCGAGAAAGTGTCCAGCGGCATGAGGTCTCAACGAGATATGTTCCCACACGATATCAGCTGGCAGATATTTTCACCAAACCTCTAGCCAAACCCAGTTTTGATTTTTTGTTGTGCAAGTTGGGCATTCAGGATCTTCATGCGCCAACTTGAGGGGGAGTGTTAGCGGGTATTTGTAGTTTTGGACTGTAATTAGTGTATCGGGCCCACGTGTAACTCTAAGCCCGCTTGTATTTGTATATATACACTTGCTTGTGATTAGTAAAACCAGATCGGTTTTTATCAAATTTCTACACTTATTCTCGATTCTCGAAACATAAAGCATGCATATTTCAAGCTTTTACATTTTCGTTTTTCATAAGAAGTAATGATGAAACAGGCAATTTTATGGCTACACATCTAACTCTTCATGCATATATTTGTTAAATCTTTTTTTTATTCGATTAGACATAAAGGTTGTCTTGAGTCACACATTTGATTTCTCGATTCGCGAAAACATAAAACATGACATGCATTTTTCAAGCTTTTCCTTTTTCAGTTTTCCATAAAGAGTAATGATGAAGCACGTGGTTTTATGGCTACACATCCAACTCTCCACATTAAATGCATACATTTGTTAAACCTTTTCTTTTATTCGATTAGAAATAAAGATTGCATTGAGTTACACATTTCTTTTTCTCGATTCTCGAAAACATAAAACATATATTTTTTAAGCTTTTGCTTTTTCATTTTTCCATAAAGAGTAATGATGAAACACGAGGTTTTATGGCTGCACATCCAACTCTCCACATTAAATGCATATATTTGTTATATATTTTCTTTTATTTGATTAGACATAAAGATTATCTTGAGCCATACATTTCTTTTTCTCGATTCTCGAAAACACAAAGCAAAGCTAGCCCAGCCGCTTAAACACACTCGTGCCAAGATCATAATGCCTTCACAGTTTCCCAAAAATTTACTCATTTATATGACCCATTCCTGCCCAAACCTGTTGTTCAATAACTTTTTCATCCAAACCCAAACCCAAAGCCTTTGGAGGGAAAATGCATTGTTCATGTCGTTCCTTTACCTTTGTATATTAAAGGATGATATATGTAAGGCTTCTCTTGAACTTAGAGAAAAAAACTAAAGTAGAAGTAAAATAATCAAAACATACTAATATAGAAGTTTCATATTTTTAATAAAGTGTTCATGTAGAATGTTTTGAATATGAAACTTCTATATTATATGAAACAGCTAATTTTACCAAACATTTTTAATGATTTTTACTTTTTATTTTCTCATTTCATTTTTTGAAATTTTTAAATTTTAAATTTTTTTAGTATTTAATTTTTTTAACTTTCATTTTTATTTTTATTTTTATATTTTACATATATTATAAAATATCTTTCAACAAAAATGATTTTAAAAAAATTATTTTTCCTAACCGCCAAGTCCAAATGCTACTCCCCTTGGCATTTCAGATTTTGGCTTTTCGGATCAAAATACCAAGTGAAAAAGTCATTAGCCAAACAATGGTTTTGGCGGTTCGCTTGGTCAAAAAAGCCAAAGTCAGTCAAAGATGCCAAAAGCTATCCGAAATGCTGTTTTGCAAATACGGCCATAGTGCCATTTTCACAACTTTTGAATTACTATTTTGGGGAAAACTTTGTACTGAATTATTAAAAAAATCACACATCGGTAGTTCCATTTTAGAAAAAAAATAATATAGGTAATAGAAGATTATCAATAAATATTTCGAAGTGTTCATGAAAAAATTTCAATACATTAGAAAATGTAGTGAGTTGTGCAAATAAAAGTTCCATTTTAGAGAAAAAATTGTTGTGTTATTTTCACAACCATTATAATGTTGTTTCACAAAAAACATTTATATAGAACTATCAAAAAATATTCATAAGTTTTGTAGTGCCATTTTTTTAAGAAATAATAATGATATAGTATCAAAAAACAATTCGAAGTGCCGCTCAAGAAAAAAATAAATGCAACTTACAAAAAGAATGTAGTTAGTTATGAAGTAAATAAATTAGCTCTATTGTAAAGAATAATTTATTTTCTAATTATATCCAGATTATCGATTATTGAAAAAATAATTAGTTTTACTCTAAAAACACTTAAATTTGGTATTATTTTTCCAAAAAAATTAAAAAATACATTTAAATTTAAAGTTAAAAATTAAAAAAACAAAAAGGGGAGAATTTACCTAGAATAATCCCACCTTTCATCTATTTGCAAAAAATGTGCATTTTAAAACAATTCCGTTAAGTGACCGTTAGTTTTTTAACGGCAACCCAAAACTCGCACACATGCGGAAAGATTGGATTTTTTCTGGTGAGAGTGAAAAAGTGGGATTATTTTTGAAAGAATACGAAAAGGTGGGATTATTTGATATAATTTTTCCCTCTTTTTTCAGCATAAAGATACTCCTAATAAAGTACTCCATAAAAACATGTTGTACATCACACATGGCACCATTTATCCCATGAACATACTACATGTACCCAAAATTTGTATCCCATTTGTATATCAAAAGTATGCACTAATAACATTTTGATGATTCACACTGACACAAAGTGCTGGTGTGTTAATAAAAATTTTCACTGAAACAAAGTATTGGTACGTTAATAAAAATTAACATTATATCAACACAATGTTGGTGCATCACTGCGATGTACAAAATGGGGTACAAATCCTTGAAGTACAAATATCTTTATCCTTTATCCTATGTTGGTTCACTTTTAAATTTTGTTCCAACTCAAATAAAAATCCATTGTTTTAGAACGAAGGGCTTATTTAGGAATAACGTTAGAAATTAATGTTGGTGTTTAGGATAAAATTTTAATAGTGTAGATTTCTTTAAAAATGCTAACGTTAAACGTTGCCCGTAGATAGCCTTTTCAAAATACTAACTCTAATATATAATGTTATTTCCAAATAGACTCAAAAAGAGTATAATTTTTCTCTATCTCTCACGAAAATGAAAAGAATTCAATTATCTTGTTAAATATGGCAGATACATTACTCCTATTATTTAGAACATCGTGTTTCCTTATTGAACCTAGACTTTACCTCCTCCTTTGTATATGTATAAATACCCCCGTATATGATGAATAAAGTATCGAGTTCACAACAAGATCCACCATGTAGCTTAGCTTCTTCTTTCACGTTCAACCACCGTACAATTGGTGACACACACAAATCTCTGTTACACATCCAAATCAAAATACGTTTTCATATCATATATTACCATTACCCTTAAGGTAGTGGAGAATATGGAAAAATCACAAGATGACCGGCGGCGACAGCCCGGCCAGTTGCAGAGGAAAGCGCCATCATCGATCCAGATTAACCCCACCACCGATTGGAATGTGGCAATACCGCTTCTTCCACCGATCGAAACAAAAAAAAAAAACAGAGCTGACGCAGAAAAGGGGGCCGTAAGCTTATTTTCTTCATTCTTTTCGCCGGAAAGCAACACAATCATCCTCTTTTCCTTTTTCAGATATTTTCAGATCTTCACTGTCCAGGTATCCCAATTTTATCAGATTCAATCTTATTAAACTGATATATGGTATGTTCTACATATATATGCCATATCGTGGAATCTGATTTGTGTTTGGGTACTATTATCCCCTATTTTTTTTCTTTTCGAAATGATTTTTTTATGTGAACTGATTTTGAGGGAGGGATTGGTTGTGTATAACCCACTGTTTTTCTTTGAGGAAATTGCTCGTTATTTTAATAAAGGGGGAATTCTTTTATTTTACGCCTCTGCATATGTTGCTTCTGTTTTGAGGTTGAATTTGATTTCAAATCAAACACAGTAGCTGTTTAATATATCCAAAATCTCCTATGAAATTGAAGGCTGAATTTTAAATATCATAGCCTTGACAATTCTCAATACACTTATACAAATAATCATGAAACTAAAGCATTTTAATAGCTGCAATTTTTTCTCTCTTTATTTTCGGCATCTGCAACTTTTAAATCTTATGCTACCCTAAAGCCAAATCAATAATCAAAATACTCCTCAAATTTTGGATAAATTTTCAAAGTGCCATGCTGAGTATGTTACTTAAGTGCAGAAACGGTCCACTATAATGCTATAAATTTTGGATATTGACCTCCACTGTTTTTTTTCTCTTGAAACTTCCAATATGTTTTTCAAAGTGCATTTATTCCATGTATGATCTATCTTTTACATGTGGATGTTTAAACATGATCAATTTATTTTGCATTTGAATGAATGACTAATCCTCATGATTTCATGCATATTGCTCAATTTCAACTTTTGGCATGCTCCTCTATATATGTCCAGGTCATTGATAATTCACTAGATGGATGGCCTTTAAATATACACTATGTATTTTTTTCAAGAAAATGATGGGATGCAAAGCTATTTGTATCATAAAAAAATTACCCTACACCTTTTTTTTTCTAACAACACTAATGAAGGTGTATAATGTTTTTAATGAGATATGACGGTTTTTGGCTGTGAAGATGTTCAAAGTTTTTTTTTTTCAAACTATTGAAATTTATCATAGAAAATCAACTTGAAAGTTATATTATTTTTTTTCTCAAAAGAGAAAATGAACCATTAGTTCTTGGTCATATACCTATAAATCTTGAACTGTTGCTTCTTAAAGTTGTGATTGTACACAAACATTGATACATGTGTTCATGTAAAAAAAAATACATATTTTATTACTTGATCACAAATGTGATAAATGCTTTTGTTGGTTCGTATATAAGAAATGCGGAGTATGTGACATATAAAAGAGAACTTCAAATGAAGTGTCAAATTTCATCCCTAAAAATAAATAAAGTTTGATATTTATTCTGAAGTCCATAATATCTCAAAGACAGTAACAAAATAAATTTTTTTTAATCATGCATTTACCATTTTCTAGAAGTAAAATGGCCTAATGATTTTTTTTAAAAATAAATTGTTCAATGCATTTTATCCTCATGCAATGATATTATATTTTAATGTGATATACTAAGTTGCATTAAATTTTGTGTGACCAATATATGTAATTACATGTTATATGTGGTTTGAGATTACAAAAGAGTGTTTGAGAATCTAATTTCCTCTAAAGTGGTAGCAAAAGAAAACAATTCAAGCACTCAATATTTGGTTACATTTTTTTCCATTGTTAGGAATTATTTTTTTTTGAAAAAATATCATGTTACATATTCATTCCCTGAAGCGAGTGAAAAATTGATTGACTTGCATGAATATAATCACAGTTACTCTGGTTATACATGTGGACATTTCAAGGTCACCATTATAGTCACATAGAATTACATTTTTTTTTTAAAAAAAACATTGATTATTTGGATCTAAATATTCTTGAAGAATATTGAAGCCTGAAAAGAAATCATTAAGATGTATAATCTCCTAAATTAAATAAGAGTCATCATGTTCATCAAACACAATTTATGGGTATATGAGATACCTAAGGTCTTATAATATTTAATTACCATCTGAAGTGGCTTATTTTTAGTTAAAAAAAATCTCAATATACAGACACGTTTTGATATTTCAAGACCTTTTGATACGAGGTGTATCGCCTCAGCACTGCCGGAGAAGGGAACCTCTCGTTCCTTAAGGGTCCAGCGGCCAAGATGTGGGGAAAAACAGGGAAGGAAATTAGGGTTTGTAGAGAGAAGAAAGAGAATATCTAGGGAGAGGAGAGGTGATGTATTACTGCTTGTCCCGTTATGAATTACATGCACCATATTTATAGGATGAACTTCCTCAAACCCTACGACTAACCTGTCAGTTCAAAAAAGGCGTCAAGGGAAAGAACCGAAAAGAAAACCCTTGAAGGAGCTTATAGACCGCTCTCCTAGTAAAATCTACGTTACATAAATAAAACATAAAAAAAATGAACTAAACATAATCGTCGTAGCGGCGAGGCGCCCGAACCTGCCTTCGGGGACGGCTCGACCCTTCTAGGCTATCTCCTGCGGTTTCCGTCGTGCCCGTATCAACTCCCCCCGTTAAGGACGTCCTTGTACTCAAGGCGAAGGTCAGGAAAGTGACGCACCAAGTCGTCCATCGGCTCCCACGTAGTATCAGCATCACACCCATCAGACCATTTCACCAACCACTGTTCTTGAGAAACCCCGTCGACCATCACCGTCCGCCGATCCACAGCCGCTACTAGAGTGGCGATGGGCCGACCTTTAAAGAAATGCTCTGGAAGGGAAACCCGTGGTGTATCACCAGGCCTGCCCACAAATGGTTTCAATAAGGAAACGTGAAAAACATCATGAATACGGCACCCATCTCGGCGATGCTGGTTAGCTTGGGACCTCATACGCTGCTGCATTTGTATTAAATGGGCTCGAAGATCAGCTAAGAGTTCAGCCTGCTCACGTAGCATCTCCTCTACCTCCGGTACCCGCGAACGCACTGCAATAGTTGGAAAAACAGACGGTGGAGGACGGCTATATAAGGCTTGAAAAGGAGACACCCCCAACCCTTCATGATGCCCACAATTTAAAGCGAGCTCTGCCCAAGGAAGAAATGCAGACCACTTCGTTGGGCGTTCCGAGACAAACGCACGTAGGTACTGTTCCAAATTCCGATTGAGGACCTCGGTCTGGCCGTCCGTTTGAGGATGATAAGCCGTTGAAAACTTGAGGGAAGTCCCGCTCAATCGGAATAGCTCCTTCAAAAAATGACTCATGAATACCGGGTCCCTGTCCGAAATAATATTGTCCGAAATAATATTCTGCGGAAAACCGTGGAGCTTTACAACGATGTCAACAAAAAGACCAGCCACCCGCGGCGCGTCAAACCCTGCAGCCAACGGACCGAAATGAGCGTACTTGCTCAACCGATCCACTACCACCATAATGACTGATAACCCCCGTGAAGCTGGCAACCCGGTAATAAAATCCATCGAGACGGATTCCCACACCAGAACGGGAACGGGCAAAGGTTGAAAGAGACCGCCTGGCTTTTGTGTAGAATACTTCGTGGATTGACATACGGAACAAGAAGCTACAAAGCGACGAACGTCACCGCGCATGCCAGGCCAATAAAACACTTGCACCAGTAGTGACCAGCGGCTGGAGTGGAATGATATTCCTCCAGTAGTGACAAGCGCAGAGGTGAAGCCCTGCCCAGGTACAGCCGCCTCTTGAAATAAAGCAACCCATCATGCACCGAAAAATCCGGTGATGCCGAACCTCGAAGAACTGCCGCATGGAGGTCCTGCAACTCCTGCAGGGACTGATTTTCCAAGCGGAGATCGCGCAACAGGAGCGGCATGGGCTGTACCAGGGCCATGAAAAGACCCGCCGTGTCCCCCTCCTCGTCTTGGCGCGATAAAGCATCAGCCGCTTTATTCGTCGACCCCTTCTTATATTCAATCCAAAACTTGAACCCCATGAGTTTTCGAACGTAAAATTGCTGATCCGGGGTCTGCACCACTTGGGAGACTAATTCCTTCAAGCTACGTTGATCGGTACGAATAATAAACTCCCGACCGAGGAGGTACTGTCGCCACTTTTGAATTGCCTCTACGATGGCGTATAGCTCTTTGTGATATGTCGATGCCGCTTGCCTTTTGATTCCTAGTTTCTTACTGAAGAAAGCCAAGGGGTGTCCATTTTGCATAAGAACCGCACCGATCCCAAACGAAGACGCGTCGGTCTCCAAGTAGAAAGGCTGCGTGAAGTTTGGGAGGCGTAGGACTGGCGCGGCTGTCATTGCTGTTTTAAGGCGTGAGAAAGCGTCCGCGGCCGAAGAGGTCAAGCAAAGCTGTCTTTTTTGAGCAGATCCGTAAGGGGGGCGGCGATTGAAGCGTACCCCGCGATGAATCGGCGGTAGTACCCCGTTAGCCCAAGGAACCCACGTAGTTGCTTCACGGATGTCGGCGTTGGCCAAGCCACCATCGCCGAAATTTTGTCGGGGTCCGGTTTAAGCACGCCCTCTGTGATTAAATGGCCCAAGTAACTAATGCACGAACACCCAAAGGAACACTTGCTGGCCTTGACGTAGAAGGCGTGACTGCCAAGGATGCGAAGGACGGTCTGCAGGTGGTCGGCGTGCATATCAACGGAGGTACTGTAGACCAAAATATCGTCGAAGAAGACGATCACAAATTTGCGCAAATAGTCCTTAAAGACGGCGTTCATGGCACTCTGAAAGGTGGAAGGGGCGTTGGTAAGACCGAATGGCATTACCAAAAACTCATAGTGGCCATCATGTGTCCGGAACGCGGTCTTAAAGGTATCATCGGCGTGCATCCGAATCTGATGATAGCCGGAGCGCAGGTCCAATTTGGTGAAGATGCGCGCGTGCCCCAATTCATCAAACAATTCATCGGTAGTAGGGATCGGAAAATGGTCAGGAACGGTGGCTTTGTTAAGGGTGCGGTAGTCCACACAGAAGCGATATGAGCCGTCCTTCTTGCGGACCAGTAAAACAGGTGAAGAGAAGGGGCTATGGCTGGGTCGAATGAGGCCTTACTCGAGCATCTCTCGGACTTGACGTTCAATCTCTGTTTTTTGAAAGTAGGGATAACGATACGATCTCACATTAATGGGTTTGGTTCCCGAAACCAAGTGAAGGCGATGATCCCAACAACGAGACGGTGGCAGCCCTTGTGGTAGGCCAAACACAGCTGCCTGAGCCTCCAAAACTGCCCGGATTGGCGTCGGCACATCCGCAGGAATGACAAAGGGCGCCGTGGATGCCGGGTGCGTGGCAGGAGGCTCCGAATCTGCCAGGAAGAGTTCATAAACGTCTTGGGCCTCCGAGGCAGCGACGAGTGTGCAGAACTGACCGTATGTTACCGGCCGTGGGTGCAGTTGATCACCCCGTAACAGCACCGTACCCCCTTTCCATGTGAACTCCATCGTCATTTGTGAATAATCGTGGGCTACCTTGCCAAAGGTTTGCAACCATTGTACCCCCAAAACCACATCCGGACCGTGAATAGCCAGGTGATATAAGTCAACTTCAAAACAATGGCCTTGCAGCAAAAGCGGGGTTTGCGGACACGAATAAATACAACGCAAGGAATCACCGTTACCAACATAAACACGGAATGGGTTAACCGGTTGCAGAGGGAGAGCCAACCGTTCGGCAACTGCCGGATGAATGAAATTGTTCGTACTGCCTCCGTCCAAAAGAACTTGGACCACCCCCTCTTTGATCATTCCAGCCATGCGCAGGGATCGGGGGCTCGGGCTGCCCGCCAAGGACAGTATGCTGGAGACGTCGGCGGAGATCACTGGTGTATCGGAGGTTGATTCCAGATTCCCCACAGTATCGGTGTCGTCCTCATCATCATCTGGGCCCATGAGAACGAGGAAACGGTGCTTGCAATTATGTGTTGACGTCCACCTTTCATCGCAGTACCAACACAGGCCCTTTTTACTCCGTTCGGTCTTCTCTGCGTGGGATAGCCGGACCACTGGTAAAGAGGAAGTTTTGTCTTGGGGGCGCTGTTGGGCCAAGTCTGGCTTTACCGCGGGGGTCGGTGTGGGTAAAAGGCCGGCTGTGGAAGGATAACCAGAGCGGGTCTGCCATGGACGACGGGTCACTGTGCCATAAGAGACAGCCGCCTCGTGAAGGCAGGTGGAGAGCTCCCTGGCCAATGCAAACGTGGCTGGCAGGGACGTGGGGCAGCGCAGATTCACCTCGCGACGTAACGGCTGTTTAAGTCCGGCCACATACATCGCAATCAACGTGGCATCAAAGACGCCGGAAACTTTATTAAGAATAGCCTCAAAAGCTGTTTGATATTCAAGGACTGTGGAGGTCTGTGTCAATTTGGATAATAAGCCCACATAGTTCTCGTAGTAGTCCGAATCAAAGCGTTGGTGCACTGCTTCTAAAAACTCCTGCCAGGTAGCGTCGGCGTTATTAGCTTGATAATAATGGAACCATTCGGAAGCCGGATGGTCAATCAACATCGCAACCAACTGTAATCGCTCGGGCTCCGGCGTCAAGAAGTAGTCGAAGTACTTTTGGACACGGAAGATCCAACCGGTAGGGTCGTCCCCCGAGAAACGCGGCGCATCCACGCGCATACGCGGAGCCGGGTCGAAGGATGGTGGCGTGGTGCGTGACGGCGGCGGCCGCCAACTGCCCTGGGAAGGCATCGCAGGAGGCTTATGGCCCTCCACGCCGGGCTGTTTACTGGTTGAAATCTCTGCCACACAAAGTTTGGTAGCCTGCAAGTCCGCGCTGAGATTCGTTATGGCCTGCATGACATCGGCCAGGGTCACCGAAGAAGGTTCCGGAGAAGCCGCCATGAGATCGAGAATGAGAGCACCAGTTGATACGAGGTGTATCGCCTCAGCACTGCCGGAGAAGGGAACCTCTCGTTCCTTAAGGGTCCAGCGGCCAAGATGTGGGGAAAATTAGGGAAGGAAATTAGGGTTTGTAGAGAGAAGAAAGAGAATATCTAGGGAGAGGAGAGGTGATGTATTATTGTTTGTCCCGTTATGAATTACATGCACCATATTTATAGGATGAACTTCCTCAAACCCTACGACTAACCTGTCGGTTCAAAAAAGGCGTCAAGGGAAAGAACCGAAAAGAAAACCCTTGAAGGAGCTTATAGACCGCTCTCCTAGTAAAATCTACGTTACATAAATAAAACATAAAAAAAATGAACTAAACATAATCGTCGTAGTGGCGAGGCGCCCGAACCTGCCTTCGGGGACGGCTCGACCCTTCTAGGCTATCTCCTGCGGTTTCCGTCGTGCCCGTATCAACTCCCCCCGTTAAGGACGTCCTTGTCCTCAAGGCGAAGGTCAGGAAAGTGACGCACCAAGTCGTCCATCGGCTCCCACGAAGTATCATCATCACACCCATCAGACCATTTCACCAACCACTGTTCTTGAGAAACCCCGTCGACCATCACCGTCCGCCGATCCACAGCCGCTAATGAAACTTGAGATACATTTCATACATATTTAGAAATTGTTCAAGGGCCCATCAACTATTCGTGATGAAAATTTAAATGTTTTATATGATGCATCATTACATTTGCCATATTTGTTGATGATTAACTCGCAACCTGAAGTTTATGAGATTTATTCATATATCATTTTATGGACACAATTTCTAGATTATGTTAAACATCTTTAGTCACAAAAGAGCATGCGACTCTAGTTAATATGCAAAGTGCATCGAATTAGTGGCTATACTTTTGATTATGAGAACAAATCATTTTATACTAGATTTTGAATCTTCATTTATGTGGTAATTATTTGGAGCGGATGCTTAATGGGCTTAAATCAAGATAAATTATCAAGATACCACAATGGTAGGTAGAACTGAGGGAAGATTTTTGAAGGAGTTGAATGGAAGATAAATTCCATGACATATGCTAGATTATATATATTCTTCAATTAAAGAAGATGTGAACCTGAAGTTCAAGAAAGAAGATTGTACTAAGATATTGCAAATAAAGTGTTCATTATGAATTTTATGTGTCAATTGTAAACACTTTGGTTAGAAGTGAACTCTAGATATTTTCTCAACCATAAAAAAATGGTCTTATTATAAGGAACCTGTAGTTCCAACATATAAGAACCTGAAGTTCTCATTCACATGTATTTTATATACACATGTTCTTTTTTTATTAATCCTTCCCTATAAATAAAATGTCAAATCTTCAAAATTTTGAGTTTCTTACACTTGATATCTCCGGAAGAGAAACAAGTTTGTTCCTTCTCACAATATTTGATTGTTTGATTGTGTGCCTTATATGCCCTCCCCCCATAATGCATTTAATATAATCTAGAAGACTGTGTATTGACATTGGCTATAACTCATCATCTATTATTAAATGTTTAGAGTTTTTGACAGGAGATATATTAACATCAAAGTAAGTTGATTGTCAATTTTATGATGAAATATTCCCAGTCTTAGGGGGAGACAAGGATAATGAAAGACTGGTAATACAAGAATTATATGAAATGCATCATTGTAAATTTTCGACTCCTGAAGTGGTCGATGTAATTTTGAAGTCTGATTTACAAAGAAAAGTAAATGAATTACTCGATGCATTCACATATATGAAGAGTGACAAAGGTACTTATACCAGCATCTTATGCATCGCTCTATTTAAGGTAGTCCCAGAAGTGACTATTGAACAATTTATGTGGGAGAATAATTGGTTTCAAAGACCCACGAAAATGAAGATAGCAAAAATTCTATTAGTGAAACCACATACATGATTATGAGTGAATCCCCAGAAGAGGTAATTGTTCTATAAGAAGACTAATACTATTCCAGAAGAAAATGAAATCCCTGAAGAGGTAAATGTCCTGGAAAAGACTAATGTGATTCCAGAAAAATAAGTTTCCTAAAAAAACATCGGTACCGAATGAAAATGAGATCTCTATTAATTATGTACGAGACTGTACAATATGGAACCAAAATGGAACACGTGTTAATGATATTCTTGCATATGCTATGTCAATGGATGTAATCAATAAAAGAGATTACATGCCTAAAACTCAGAGAAGAGTACATGTAGATAGTACATAAATGATTTGCCAAATGGCAAAAGACCCCGAAGGTCGAATATAAGTCACTCGATAAATGAAATATTTTCAGACCTGAAGTCCGAACACCCATAGACGTCAAACCAATAGGTTATAAATGGGTGTCTGTAATAAACAGAAATAAAATGAATGTGATTGTGCGATATGAAGTACTACTTGTAAGGCAAGAGTTTTCCCAAATCCTAAGAGTTGATTATGAGTTTTCCCAAATCCTAAGAGTTGGATGAAATATCCTTTTAGAATTTTAATTGGCCTCGCAATCTCAAAAGGACTTCAAATAAATGATATGGATGTCGTTATAACATAATTATAAGGGACACTTGAAATTGACATCCGTGTGATAATAATCCCAGAAGGATTCAAAATGCCAGAAGCAATAAAATTAATACATCGAGATATGTGTGAAGAGATCGTGGAATGGTCTTAAGTAATCTGGTCATATGTGTACAATTTACCTAGTGAATATCTCGAAAAAGAAAGATATAGATTTGAAATGAATCTATGTGTTGTCATTCAAGGATCGCTCTCAATATTCTTTATTATAGCAGTTTACGTCAACGTATAAATATCATTACATCTCCTGAAGAGATAGAAAAAAAACTATTAAACTCTTGAAGAGAGAATTTGAGAAGGAAGATCCTAACATGACATAAATTATACTTCAGATTGTATTTTAAACACCTATATGACGAAACATTTATCCATAATTTAAACTACATCCAGAAGATGTTAACACATTGAAATATGGATAAAGCTCATCTTTTGAACATACCCATGGTTGTTCACTCATATATATACATAAACATATTAATCGCCTCCCAGAAGAGGGCGAAGAAGTACTTGGTCCTGGAGTACCAAATTTAAGTGTGAAATTAGATAGGTAATGTGTTCACCTATGGTGATACGACTTTTTCTTGGAAGTCGACTGAGCGAGCACGAACAACATGAAATCAAGCCGAACTGATAGCATTATACAACAGTGATCAAGAGCGAGCATGGTAGAGATTGATGATCAATCTAATACTAGGAGCATGCAGTTTGAAAGAAATCAAGAACAATGCTACGATTATATATAAAGACAACGTAACATGCATAGCTCAAATCAAGGAAGGCTACATCAAGGGAGATAGAACGAAGCAAATCTCGGCAAAGTTTTCTCAACATCCGATCTGCAAAAAGAAGGAGAGATCGATGTTCTTCAAGTTAAATCAAGCAAAATTTGGCGGACTAATTCATCAAATCCCTGCCAAGACAAAGTTTTGAGCAACTCATAAAGAAGATTGGACTTCGTAGTTTAAAAGAGACAAATTAGTTTGAGGGGGAGTTATTTTTATTTTGAGGGAAGATATTATACACGTTGTACTCTTTTTCCCTTAACTAAGTTTTGTCCCATTGGGTTTTTCTTAGGAAGGTTTTTAATGAAGCAGCATAACTGGTCCTACAGTATCAGTTAATATAGGTCCTGAAGAACCTAGCCAACATTATCTCGTAGCATAATGTTGTTAGTGTATAATGAATGATGAAATATCTGAGGGGGAGTGTTAAATATGGCAAATATATTACTCCTATTATTTAGAATATCGTGTTTCCTTATTGACCTAGACTTTACCTCCTCCTGTGTATGTATAAATACCCCCGTATATGATGAATAAAGTATCGAGTTCACAACATATCTATCTTTCTAACTTATTTTTTATTTTCATTTTCATCTCATGGATCTATTTTTCTCTTCTTTTTCCTCTCTCACCAAACATGAGGAATTACCATCTATTATACTCCCTCCATTCTCAAAAACATTTCATCTTTCATTTTTTTCACTTCCAACAAAATACTTCCACTTTCTATTAAAAAAACACGTTTACCCTTACTTTTTCATACCCTACCTATCACATCATATTTTTTATCTAATAATCTATCCATCACATCTTACTTTTACCCATCACATCAGAGACAAAATTGGAAGTCAACTATAATTTAATATGGAGTACTTCCTTATTTTGGCTCTAAGTCAAAGTAGGAAGTTTTTTTGCAAACGGAGGGAGTATATCATTTTCTTGTGAAATTTGTACTAAATAGTACTAAAATATATGTCATTTTGCAATGTAGTACTTAAACTTTTTTATATCCCTAAATAGTACTTGAATAAAGTCTAGTGCTGGAAATAATGTCCAGTGATGATGAACATTTAGTTTGAACAATTAGTTTGAACAATGTCCAATTGCGCTGGACATTTACTTGAACAGTGACCGATGGATAATGACCAGTGATACTACATTGGAAAATAAAAATATATCATACTAAATTAGGAAAGTCACTACGTACGTTTTAGTATCATTTAGGTAAATTCCCTCATTTTCTTTTGTTTTCATCTCAAATATAATTAGTAAAAAAGTGTGATTTGATATGAAGGATAAGAACTAGTAAATGTAAAAGTTATTTTTTAATAAAAAAAGGAAGGACTTTGTAGGACACAGAAAAAAAGAAAGAAGAGTTTATGAGATTGAGGAAGTATTATCCTTTATCTTTGGGAGTTGAATCCAAAAATTACTCTGTTCTTTACTACTTCTATGCTACTCCCTCCGTCCCAAAAAGATTTACACCTTTCAAAAAAATTGCGTCCTACAATCTCCTACCCATTTCTATTAAAAAACCATTTTTGCCCCTTACTTTTTCAAACCCTACCTATCACATCATACTTTTTTTTTCTAATAATCTACACATCACATCCTACTTTTACCCATCACATCAAGGGTATTTTTGGAAAGTCAACACAAAATTATCCCTCCCTTAATTTCAATTTTAGTCAAAACGTGTAAATCTTTTTAGGACGGAGGTAGTATCTTTTTAACCAATTAAGCTAGAGTTTGGAGGTGTTTTCTTACTGTAATATTTATCATCACATGGATTTAGTTCCACTCAAACTTGGACATGATGCATATTTTTTATTAGTCATTTAATAAAATAATATATTATAAAACTTTATACCTGTAAATTCTGTAATACCTTCCCTCTTACTTTTCCCTTGAAAAATATTTTTTTCTTAAACATGTTCAATTCATTTTGATTTAAAAATATTTTATAACCATTTAATCTATTTATTAGCTATTTTTATATATATATATATATATATATATATATCTGTCCACAAATAAACTTTACATTGCGCGTTACGATGTTTGACTGAAGTTATTTTTAAATCATTTTATATGAAAAATGGTGTAAAATTTTAAAATAAAAATCACATATTAAAAAGCTATGTCAAAAGATCTACAAAACTAGAGGTGACATGACTATATTATTTTATCAAATGGGTAACGAAAATAGGTCAACAAAGTGAATAAAATTTGACCTTGTAAATAGTGAACGTAAAGTTTATTTGTAGACGGAGGGAGTATATATATATATAAAATTTATATAATTAAATTTATATTCCGAATATATTTGTCGAACTCACAAATTGAATACCCTTGATTCATATTCGTATTCAATATGATTCGAATATTCATTCAGATTCGTATTCGTAATTGGATTCGAAAAAATCGAACACGAATCTCCTCATACGAATAAGAATCACGAATCGAACAAAAAATATTCGATTCATTTACATCCCTACTTCCTACCCTCTCATTGCCCCTTGAAATTGCTCTAACAAAAAGACAAGGTACTTCAATTTCCTCTTCTCCCCTCTATTTTTCTTGGAACCTGTTATACTTACACCAAAAATTGTACTCCAAAGTTACACCAAAGATATACACTAATATTTTTATTATTCACACTGACACAAAATGGCGGTGCGTTAATAAAAATTTGCACTAACATTTTATGTCTGTGTGAACTATTACTCTAGTATTACAATGACACAAAATGAAGGTACAAACCTGCAGAATACAAATTAGAGTACAAATCTTGGGGTACACATAGCTTAATTCATTTTTCTTTTCTTTTTTCTCACCAAACATGAAAAATTAATATTTATTGTATTTCCTTTATTTTCCCTCTAGATGCAAATTTCTCGTCTTTTGAATTACGGTCCTCGATAATTTTATTTGTTTATATATTAATTGATTATTTGATAAAATAAAATATTTTAATACATTTTATTTTGTAGAATTTTTAAAATGTAGAGAAATATGTCATTTTTATTTCTGTATCAATTTATTTATAAAATGACTTTTAGAATAATAAGTGAGAAATATTGTACTCTCTTCGTCTCCAAAAGATTCTCACCCTTCACTAGTCAAAAAAATCATGAGAATTTTTGTTTGTTTTCATGTTTCATTGATTACCCCGGAGTATTTGATAAAATAAAGTATTTTGTCACTTTTTTTCCATAAAACTTTTTACATAGTTTTTAATATTTAAGTTTTGTTTCTTATTTTTATACATATCTTTAAATAAAATAAATTAAAAAACCCAAAAGTTTTACGGAGTATTTTATTTAGCGTAATGTTGGAATCTTTTTGAGACGATAGAGTAAGGCCCCGTTCCGTTCAACTTATTTTTTCTTATTCTTATTAAAATCAGATCAAATCAGACCAGATCAGATCAGAACAGATCGAAGCAGATCAGATCAGATCCAATCAAATCATATCCAATCAGATCAGATCAGATCAGATCAGAACTTATTAAAATCAGATCCCATCAAGAATTATTATTATTATTATTATTGTTATTATATTATTATTATTATTATTATTATTATTATTATTATTATTATTATTATTATTATTATTATTAAAAATGAAAAAGAATAAACTTTAGGAACAGGTTAAATAGAAAAATGAGAAAGTAATCCTTAATTATTAGACGTCGGAAAAATTAGTTTTAAAATACATTGACAATGTCAATCTAATTTTACTTTTAAAATATATTTTTATTGCTACTTGTAATTTGAGTTTCTAAAGTTTTGATCTTTTATAAGGATGAGATATTTTAATAAAAATACTATCTCTTCTATATATTGATTATCTAAATTTAATTACTTTTTAATGTACATATAAATTAAATATTTATTCCAATGTATATATGAAGTAATTCTTAAAATATTAAATTAATATTCTAATTTCACAAAACAATAATCATAAAATAAAAAATACTACCTCCGTCCCGCTATATTTGTCCACTTTTGACTTTTGGAACTGTTCATCTAAGCACTTTGACTCATCAAATTCTCTCAATGTGTAAGCCTAAATATAGTCATGTGTGATCTTGTTTGATTTGTCTTAACATATAGATTATTAATATATAATTTCTATAATTTTTTAATATACAAATTACAAGATAAAATGAAAGTGGACAAATACTCTGGGACGGAGGGAGTATTATTACATTATAATATGAATGATTATTCTAATATATGTATTAACTAATTCTATTTTATTAAAAAATAATCATTAAATAAAAAATATTGATTATATTATAATATGAATTATCATTATAATTTTTAAACGTTATTATAAAGTCAAATCAAAATTATTCATTTGAATTTTAAATCAAATCATAATTAATCAAATCAGATCAGATCCAATCAAATCATCCAATTAGATCAGACCAGATCAGATCCAATCAGATCAGATCAGATTAGATCCAATCAGATCAGATCAGACCAGATCAGATCCAATCAGATCAGATCGGATCAGAACTTATTAAAATCAGATCAGATCAGAAAAAATAAGTTGAACGGAACGGAGCCTAAGAGGGATGGAGTATTACACCGTATCATTTGGAGTAACAGGGAACGTGCCCGCGTGTCTTTTCTTGAATAATTTGCACTACATAACACTAAACTTAAGTCATTTATCTAAATAGCACTTAAATTGTTTTATTTCTTAAATAGCACTTAATAATATCCATAATGACCACTGATGACGAACATTTACTTGAATAATGATTAAAAGTGATACATTGGGAAAAAATCACATGCAGTGTTATTTAGGAAAAATTATTATGTTTTAGTGCTATTTATATAAATTCCTCAATCATTATTTTCCCACAGTTATTTTCCTTTTTCGAATTTATAAAAAAAAAGTCTACAACCAGCTCATTGGTACCATCCCCGTATTTGGCTTCTTTTTTCTTTTTCTTTTGCAAAAGTAAAGATTCTGCTTTTTCGAAGTAGGGACGGCTTGTCTCCTAACTTTGAGCCTTGTATTCCCACTAGACCACTACTCCCTTCATACTTAGAGCATCAGCAGCGGCGATCTGTCCATATGCCACGCCCTGCCAGATCGGATGAGAAGCAAACTTTACTCGCGTGGGACTACCATTTCTCCACGATCAGCAAGGCTTATGCGAGGCATGTAAGCCTATTTTTATTATTTTTTTCCTTTTATTTGTGAGAAAGAATTCCTCAAAAAAGAAAAAAAAGGAAAAAAATGTTTTCTAGAAGGAAGTAGAACTACTTTTTACTCTCTTTGTCTCTTAATAAATTATAATTTATTCACCCCTTGATAACTTTTGTTTACTTATTATTTTTTTTGATTATTTAATTAAAAAAAAATTCACATCTTTTTTTGTAGAACTTTTGATGTAAATTTTAAATTTATAAGTTTTATTTTTAATTCGTATACCAATTTTTAAATAAAATAATTTTTAAAAACAAAGAGTTTTGCATCGTAATTTTAAAATCATAATCTAATTTGAGATGAAGGAATAAATAAAAATATGGAGTAGATAACAAAAATATTTTTAATAATTAAAATATATTTAAAAAATTTATTTATTTGAGTAAATATAAATATTTTCATGATAAAAATATATAAGTAAAATAATTTTAAATAATTCAAATATGGAAAAAATATGAAAAAAAGTGATGAAAACAATGACTTGCCACTGCAAGATATGCCACTCCACTCACGTGCCACTCGTTGACAGGACTGTTTTTTATTGGTTGAAATACTCCACGTCAGCGTGTGGCATTCCATTTTTGCCTCACCATTGTTCATGCTCTTAGCCTCAGAGGATGATTCTCCATTCTCGAGATCTGCTCAGACTCAATTATCATAGATTGGTACTAGGAAGTGAAGAATGCATTGGGCACTTGCAGATGTTTTATACTTAAATTGTTGCCTCCCTTCCTACTAAAATTAACATCTAGTTTGAGTTTATGAATTTTGACCAATTTTAATTTTAATTCAATTTAACTTATCATTGGTGTAAAATTTAAAAATAGAACTTATATATGTAAAAAGTTCTATTCCCTTCGTCCAAAAAATTACTCCCTCCGTCTATTAAAAAGATTTCCTGTTTCATTTTTTTGCACTTTTCCGAATACACTTTTGTACATATCTTTATTGTCCAAGACTCACCATATTTCTCATTTATTAGAAGTTATTTTAGATATTTCAGATAGTGTAAAAGTATTTTATGGAGTGTATAAAAAAGAAACAGAAAGTCTTTTTAGAGACAGAAGGAGTATTTTCTACACGATAGATAGTCATCGAACTCATGGCTTAAGTATTCCCCAAAACGATCATATCGCAAAGTCTTGATACTTTTTCCTAGTTGTTTCTCTACTTCACTTCGAAATTCATTGAACATTTCAAATAATTCTGATTTGTGTTTCATCAAGAACACATAACCATATCGACTAAGACCATAGTGAAGGTAATGATATATGAGAAACCTCCTCGGGCTGTAATGCTGAAGGGCCCACATACATCAGTATGTATGAGTGCAAGAAGATCACTAGCCCTTTCACCTTGATGGGTGAATAGCGTTTTTGTCATCTTGCCTAATAAACAAGACTCGCATATATCATATGATTCAAAATCAAATGCTTCCAATACACCAGTTTTGTGTAATTTGGATATGTGTTTCTCATTAATGTGGCCTAACCTACAGTTTTGTCTAAGTCTAAAATATATAATCCACACATAATAACAGCTTTAGCATAAAGCGAATTGTCTTTATATATGAGGCAACATTTGTCCTTTATTGAAACGATAAAACCAGTTTTATCAAGACATGATTTGGAAATTATATTTCTACTAATCGAAGGATTGAATAAATAATTCTCCAATTCTAAGACAAATCCAGATGGTAAAGTTAAGCTACATGTGCCAACAGCTTGTGCCACAACCTTTGCGACATTGCCAACACGAAGTTCAACTTCACCAAGAGCCAACTTTCTACTCTTCTTTAGTCCTTGCATGGAAGTACAAATATGAGATCTGCATCCCGTATCAAGTACTCATGCTGAGTTGTTAAAAAATTGTCCAATCAACATGCCAAGTGTCATCATTTTGCAAGCTAACTCCCAAATTTTATATAAAGAAATTATTTCAAATATCTCCCGCAAGCTGATCATCGGTATCAGGGATGTGCTCGACCAAAAAAGGAAGTGTCAAAATCTTAGCTCCGATACCATGATACAATTCGACAATAATTGATCTTATTGAATAATCAAGGATGCATCCATATATAGAGGAATTACAGGATAGAGTTCTAATCATAGTAGGAGAAGAACTATAATAATAATAATAAAATAAGGAGATGATAATAAATAATACTATTTTATTTCATATTACTTAAATTATTCCTAATAAGCCTAACTTAGATCTACGCTATGGTACGGTGCAGTATGTATGTTGTGCGAGTCAATCAATTATGTAGTAAGAAATAAACCGTATAATTCACATTGTGATTGACCGTGAGAAATTAAATAATGCAAAACCATATTCCGTGAAGGGGAAATTACTTAAATAGCAATAAAACATAATGACTTTCCCTAAATAGCATGACATGTGTTTTTTCCCAATGTAGCGCTTTTAGTCATTATCCATTAGTCATTATTCAAATAAATGTTTGCCACCATTAGACATTACAACAAAAAATTGCTGCTAGGTACCCCCTATTTTGTACTAAAAACTCGTAGGTTCTATTGTTTTTTAAAATATACTCCGAGGTACCTTAAGATATTTGAAAACTGACTTTGGGGTGACAATCCGTCATTCTCTCCGTTAATATTCCTTCTCCGTTATCCTCTTCTTCTTCTTCTTCTTTTCTTCTTCTTCTTCTTCTTTTTCTTCTTTTCTTCTTTTCTTCGTTTCTTCTTCTTTTCTTTTCTTCTTCTTCTTCTTCTTCTTCTTCTTCTTCTTCTTCTTCTTCTTCTTCTTCTTCTTCTTCTTCTTTTCTTCTTTTCTTCTTCTTTCTCCTGTCTTCCAATGTGACCTCCATTATATTCCTCCCCCCCCCCCACCCCCGTTTTTTTCTTTTACCTTTTGTTTTGTTTTTTTCTTCTTCTATTATAACTATTATTATTTGTTATTAATTATTATAATTACTTCATAATTATTATTTTCTTATTCTATTATTATTATTATTATTAATTTTTTAATTTATTATTATTACTATTATTATTAAAAATTAATTGTTAGTTTTACCACTCTTTTCTATAAAAACACTAATTGTTATTTAGAAAAATAGCACTTATTACTTCTGTACTGTTTTATAAAAATACTGCTAGTTATTATAGAATAAGAAATTTGTTCCAAAATTTTTAAAAAATGATATTTTGATAATTTAAATGTTTAAACCCGAATTTCAATTTAAAATATAAATGTATGTTTGACACAAATTAATAACGAAGTCTAAAAATTAACGTGACACACAATTGATCACAATATAGAGTTGCATTCTAAAACTCACTTTCTAAAACGGGTGTAATATGTTTGAGCAAGAGAGGTTATAGAATCTGTCGTAGCTTATAAGAAGGTATAATCACACTTCAGTGAAATTACTAATAATTTCATGCCTCGCCTAAAAAAGTAAAAAATATGCTATTAGAATTATTTATTGAAATAAATCAGGTGGGTCATGTGTTCATTATGAAAAAATAGTCTGCACCTTCTTCCATTGACAAGCTAATACCATCATAACCTCACTTCCTTGAGATGCTTACCGCCACCAATGTTTTGAATATCACATGCGAAAGCATTCTTTGCACAAACTGAATGTTAAATTTTTGCAAATAAAATAATAAGTCATAAAATTAATGGTTACAGAGTCTATAATATATTTGTATGCCTTGTACGTCAGGTGCTTTCTGTTTTTTAATTTGAATGTCTTAACTCCGTCGTTAATCACTACCCTAATAGATTAAAAAGAAATTGGCAAGATTATTATATTTAGTCATCACATCATTTTTTTGTTTTCATATTTTATGGATGGATATGAAGAGCTCCATTATAAAAGTCTAAAACTTACACATTGTTCCAAAATATTCAAACAATAATCTTTCCTTCAAAACCAAGTATGGAGTATAATTTATTTGAACATCTATTTTTGGATCGAATTATATATGGTAAGGCTCTGTTTGGTATACAGAATTCAAGTAATGAAATTTGAATTGGAGACTTGAATTCTAATTCTGTTATTTGGTAAAACAAAAATGTACGAATTTGGAATTGGTAGTGCAAAAAATGAATTGAAATTGGAGAATTTGCTTTCATAAAATACTCCATTTGCTTTTATAAAATACTTCATCTTTTAAATTTTTTTCTCTATTCCCTAAACATTTTCACATCCTATTAAAAAAATCACTTTTATCCATATTTTGTCTTACCATGTCTATCACATCATACTTTTTACTAATAATCTACTTATCATTTCTTATTTTTATCAATTACATCAAGGGCAAAATTGGAAAGAATGTCAACTACAAATATACACCCCTTATTTCTTTTATTAGTCAAAGTAAGAAGTGTTTATGGAAACATAGGGAGTATTGCATATGTTTTCAAGTATTTGTCTAATTATAATTTTTTGTAATCAAAATTGATACACTTTAACCATCGATTAAATGAAATGAAAAAATCAAGTTTTAGTAATCTCATTAGTATATATTTAATGTTCCGTATTTGGCTTAAATCCACTCTAGGGAAATGAAAGGCCATTTTTTTCTGCAATAAATACTCCATAATATTTATATTCATTCAATGTATGGGCTACAATTAACGAAGAATTCTGGAAGTTTTCTGGTTAATACGCAGTACAGTACTCCGTGTATATTTTTATACTGCACGACATTTTTGGTTCATTTATTGCATGGTGTTCTTGGTTCAATGCACGGCCGAATGCTAAATACACAAACACTTCGGTCACAAAATACACAAACTTGCTATTTGTGCACCTCACCAAGTGAATAAAATGAAGTTAAATAATTAAAAAGTAAACATTTAAATACACAAATAGAAAGTTTGTGTATTTTGTGATCAAAATGTTTGTGACTTTAGCATTTCTTGCCTAAATATACAAAGAAGTGGAATACCTTTTTTTAGTCATTTATTACTAAAATGTGCGAGAAAACAACATTTTTTATCTTTTTTCTTCCCCCAATTCTTTTGCTTTTGTATATAGTATAGATTTCATTTCTGGATCCACCCGGGCGCCCGAGCACTAAATTGATGGCTAAAATGGTTCAGGTTAATTCTCTATTTAACTTAACTCATTTTAAGTCCGTGATTAAATAGCATAGTTTTGAGAACCGGACCGGTGACCGAACCGGTCAAGGTACTGGTTCACTGGTTTACTGGTCGAACTAGTGGTTCAACTGGTCGAACCGGTGGTTTAAACATATTTAAAAATTATATATATATATATATATATATATATATATATATATATATATTATATATATATATATGTATGTATGTATGTATGTATGTATGTATGTATGTATGTATATATAGAGACACACACACACACATTCCCATATATAAATACATAATGAAAGTAATTTGTAATATTTGACTAAAATTATATTAATATACTTGAGTTATTTTACTCAATTAAATGATAAAATTTACATATTAAAAAATAATACTCGGTATTAAAATTTTATTTAAAAAAATATCAATGATTTTGTGTTTGACTCATATCTATATAATACTACGTATTATATTTTTAAAATTGAAAAGTTATTTGTATGAATTTTTTTAATTAATTATGAAATATTATAAAATATAATATGAATTTGTAACAACAAGTACTGTTAGTTGGATGGTTAGGAATTCAATCAGATATCTAAGAGGTCTTGGTTTCAAATCCCCATGGAGTGAAGTTTTGGAAAAAGATTGCAAAAAGAAAAAAAAAAAAACTGGTCGGACCGGTCCGACCGGCTGGTTTAAACCGGTTCGGACCGGCGTGTTACCCATTTTGATTAAAGTTGAAATTAAGAGAGAGAGAGATAATTTTGTGTTGACTTTCCAAAAATACCCTTGATGTGATGGGTAAAAGTAGGATGTGATGTGTAGTTTATTAGGAAAAAAGTAATGATGTGATAGGTAGGGTTTGAAAAAGTAAGGGGTAAAAATGGTTTTTTAATAGAAATGAGTAAGGGATTATGGGACGTAATTTTTTTGAAACGTGTAAATCTTTTTGGGACGGAGGGAGTATATTTTTTATAATTAGACTTTCCAATTAAATTATTAGCATCGTAAAAAAAAGATAGACAAATCTCTAAAATAATTTATTATTTGAATACAAAATACTCTCTCCGTTCCTTAAAAAGGTTCATGTTTTGACTTTTAGCCAAATTAAGGAAATGTAATTTTGGTTGACTTTTCAATTTTGCCCCTGATGTGATAGGTAAAAGTAAGATGTGATAGTTTGGTTATTAGTGAAAAATTATAATGTGTTAAGTAGGGTATGAAAAAGTATGAGTAAAGTGGTTTTTTAATAGAAAAAGAAAGTATTTTAAGGAATTGAAAAAAAATGAAAGAGGAAGGGTTTTAATGAACGGAGAGAGTAGATGTGAAGTATACTGCACTAGTTTTACTTGGATACATTACAAAAAAAGCCAACAATGACACTAGTTTTTATGACACTTAATGAAATGCCATGCCTTTTAAATTAGTAAATGTTCTTTATTATGCTTACAAACGTCATGCTACCTTCGTCCCTGAGTATTTGTCTAGTTATGATTTTTTCCGGTCAACTGTTTTCAACTTTTGACTTATAATTAAATAAAATATATATATTATATATTAATTAGATAAATTAATATTTTAAAAATCTTTGATGTAACAAATCTAATAAATGTCTTAAATTATTCAAAAATATGTCATTTTTGGCTTCATTTCTTGTCCTGACTCCGTCCACAAATAAACTTTTTGTTACACGTTACGATGTTTGGCTAAAGTTATTTTCAAGTCATTATATATGAAAAATGGTATAAATTTTAAAAATAAAAATTACGTATTTAAAAAACTATATCAAAAGATCTACAAAAATAGAGGTGACATGACTATATTATTTTACCAAATAGGTAACGAAAATAGGCCAACAAAGTAAATAAAATTTGACTTTGTGAGTAGTGAACGAGAATGTTAGTTGTGTCAGAGAGAGTATTAACTATTTTAATAAAGAAAGGAAGCATTTTAGTGAGAGGGAAGAAACGAAAGAGGGATAATTTCAGTAAAGGGGTGGAGTAATACATGAGGCACAAACATATACTGGTATAATTATTAGTCCATAGTTTCCAAGTGAAATGGACGAAGATATTGCATGCTAGCTTATTCATTCAACATCGATTACACATGCACTTTCTTCATTAATAATAATACGAGTAATAATAATAAGATCCATTAATTGCGCGCAGAATGAATGGATCCTTGGTTCAATTCGATCTTTATATTGTGTCCTTGGAAACACCAACACAAGCTGTGGATGGATTCTTATCCACGTAAATATCCACTCCTTCACTCAACATCTGAAATGCCACATGCATCCAAATTAAAACATAAAAATAATCGATCTCCGGCTTGCAAGAATCAAGATCAGAATAAACTCGAGAAATATAATAAAGGCTACATTAAATATAATTAAATATATATTATTGCTTTGATATTATTGATGAGATATATATATATATATATATAGAATTAAATTAACTTACGCCTTCAATATCATCGTGGCGACCGACGCGAAAAGCGAAAACATTTGCTACTCCACCAAAATACGTACTGCCCGTATCCAATATTTTGTTTCTAAATCTGATCTGGTAATCATCTCGACAAGTCCAACAACTTCCATAATGAGGCTGATATATAACAACAAAGATCGATATTTTATTATATTATAATAGTAGTTATAATTAGTACGAATTATAACAACAATACTAGAGAATGGAAGTCATATGATATGATTAATTACGGGCCAATATTATTTAATGTTTTTTTAATCTTACGGTGATTTCAACAAAGGCCTTGTGTATAACTGGATCATAAGTAAACGTGGCAGTGTTCTCGTGAAAGCATGGAGCACGCCAGTTATGGGTCTGTTCATTACGATGCGCAGTTGCAACCCATTCATAGCCAAGGCTGATGACAGGTGATGAAGAAGAAGAAGAAGAAGAAGAGGAGACGGTGATAGTAGTGAAACACAACGTCCATATTATTATTGTTGCGAATGATGATAGTGGTAATGAAAGGGGCGCACTCATTCTCCCATAACCCATGTTCATTCTCAAGTCTCACTCCCTCCCTCCCACCTTAATTATATGGACTATTTATAGCTAGTGTGGATCACTCTTCAACAACCTTTAAATTTTAATTACTTTTAAAATTATTTTATTTATATATTGGTATATAATTAAAATTACTCCCTCCATTCTTATTTAAATAACATATTCACTTTTGGTCAAATTTTATTCACTTTTTTTTTACCTATTTTCGTAAGTAATTTGATAAAATAATACTATATATTCATGTGTCGCATATTATTTTGTAGAGCTTTCGATGTAACATTTAAATAGGTAAATTTTATTTTTAATGAGGTATTTTTTTGTTAAAACTTAAAAATTGAAGCAAGATCTTTTTGTTACACTTTTTCTTTTATTGTTTGCACGGTCAAACTTTATACAGTTTCTGAGAGAGACGATCGGGTTTTGGTATCCCGATTATGGTCTTTTTTTCTTTTCATTCTTTCTGGTTTTAGAAACCCGAATTTGGGGATTTGAATGGCGTTTCAAATTGCATGTTGCGTGTGTAGATATATTTTCACAATTTTTTTCGTTTGGATTTTCAAAAGGAAAATATACCTAAATAATACTAAAACATAGTGTGTTTTCTAATGTAGTATCATACGGAGTAATTTTTTATTTTCTAACGGGATCATTGTCAAGTTGTCAACTAGTCATTATTCAAGGTTACTAGACAATATTCAAACTAAATGTCCATCGCCAGTAGATATTATTTCTGCCACTTTACATTATTCAAATACGATTTAGTGAATAAAAAAATTTAAATACTATTTTGAAAAATACATATGTTTATGTACTATTTAGTGCACATTTCATTTTTTAAAACCCGAAATTTGAAGTTTATTCATTAAAAACATTCCAAAAAAAATTATCCAAGTATTATAAAATATTTTATCTCAAAATAAACCATCACTTGCTATAGAAAAAAATGAAAAAAATATCTCAAATATACCCTCCTTTTCGTGTTTTTTCAAAAATAAGCTTAGTTTTCACTCTCACCAGAAATAATCCCACATTTCCCATGTATGCGAGTTTTGGATTGGCGTTAAAAAATTAACAGTCACTTAACGAAATTTTTGAATAATGCTTGTTTTTAAAAAATAAATGAAAGGTGGTACGGAGTATTATTTTAGGTAAGTTCTCTTTTTTGTTTTTTAATTTTAACTTTAAATTTAAATGTATTTTTTTTTGGAAAAGTAATACCAAATTTAAGTGGTTTTTAGAGTGAAACTAATTTTTTTTCAATAATCCATAATCTGATAATAATTAAAAAAATAAATTATTCTACACAATAGAGCTAATTTATTTACTTCACAACTCACTATTTTTTTAAGTTGCAATTATTTTATTTGAATGGCATTTCAAATTGTTTTTGATACTATATTATTATTATTTCATAAAAAATGGCACTACAAAACTTGGGAATTTTTTCGATAATTCTATATAAATATTTTTTGTGAAACAACATTAAAATAATTGTGAAAATAACACAACAATTTTTTCTCTGAAATGGAACTTTAATTTTATTTTTATAACTCGCTACATTTTCTGTTGTATTGCACTTTTTTCATGGACAATACTCAGAAATAATTATTGATAATCTTCTATTGCCTATATTAATTTTTCTAAAATGGAAATACCTTTTTAAATAATTCAGTAATAAGTTTTTCCCAAAATAGTAATTCAAAACTTGTGAAAAATGGCACAACTTTTTTCTCTGAAATGACACTAATAAGTTTTATATTTGACTATAATTTTTTTTGTATTGCAATTTCTTTCTTGATCGATACTTTGAGTATTTTTTATGATTCAATCTTATATTTTCCTAAAACAGAAAACAAATTGTAAATCGTTAGACAAATCTCTAACAATAGTGTACTTTTATATTTTAAAAAATATTAATTTTAAATTTAAAATAAAAAAAGAAAAAAACTAAATTTGCCTAAAAAAAGTCCTACCTTTCATTTATTTGCGAAAAGACAAACATTTTCTAAAAATTCCATTAAGTGGTCATTAGTTTTTTAGCGGTGATCCAAAACTCGCACACATGCCGAAAGATGGGATTATTTCCAATGACCGTGAAAGGTGGGATTATTTTTGAAAAGACGCAAAAAGGTGAGATTATTTGTGATAATTTTTCCAAAAAAAATTAAAGTACATTAAGATTCAAGAAAAATAGGAATGTTTGATTGATTAAGATTTATGTAGAAGAGAGGAAAAGTTATGGAGTAGTAGATTTTGAAACAACTTAAAGAGGTAGAAATTTATTTTGGAACAAAGGGAGTAAAATAAAAGCGTGAAATATGATTATTGAGAAACATTTTTATTCAATTAGTTTTAAGGGCACGATTCCATTGCCACTGCATTGTGATTCTGTTGTCACTGTACTGTGATTCTGCTTATAAAATTGATGGTTCCCACCACCTAACTCCCGCCCCCCTCCCTGGCCTCACCCGAACCCACCCCACCCTCAATAATTTTACCGCCCAAGTTTAAGTTACTTTGGGGTAAAACTTTGACTTGAAGTTTAATTAGGGACCGTTTGGTATACGGAATTGGTGGAATAGGAATTGAATTGGAATTGAAATTCCATGGGATTCAATTCCATAGAATCGAATTCTACCAATTCCAATTCATTTTTTGCACTATCAATTCCAAATCTATATAATTTTTGTGCTACCAAACACCAGAATTGGAATTGAAGTCCCCAATTCCAATTTCATAGTTTGAATTCCATGTACCAAACGGGACCTCAAATTTGGAGGGCCCACGTGAGTTCAGGTTGGCCGGGGTGCAAGTTTTACCAGGGTGAGAGTTAAGAGTAGGAATCAACAAAATTTTGAACGGTGCATCGAAATGTCCAGTGCGTGGCATCGAAACACACATACTACAAATTCACCATTAGTGTCCCCACAGGTTAGAATAATAGGTACTTTATTCATGCATAGATGACTATAGCCAATGAACACAGATAATTATCATCCGTATCATGTACTCCATGTTAGTTTATACTCTATTTTTTTCAGTTTTATTATTGACTCGATTAAAATATAGTACATATTTTCAACTTTTTTTACCATAGAGAGTACTACGTAATTGAGACTATTACTCAAAAGCATCATTTTAGAGAAGAAGACCAAAATATAAGTAAGACATTGAAAATGTATCAAAATATGAGTTTCATATCTTATTCAGGAAATAAAGGAAAAATGAATATACAATGTTACTCATAAACGTATACATTACCAAAACCTAAGTCATTATTGCTGCAGAAAATGGATGCTCAATTTCATCCTTTTGACGGAAACAACCCTCCAAAAGGAGGAGGGTAAGTCATTATTGCTGCAGAAAAAATCGAATCTTTACTGTGGCAAAAGAAAAAGCCATATCGAAAAAGCCATTGCAACCGAGTAAAAAAGCCGAATCTTTACTGTGGCAAAAGAAAAGGCCATATCGATCGCTCCAGAAAAAAGACACATGTGCTGTTTGTAGTGAAAAAAGAAAGGATAACTATCGTGGGAAAAGCAAAAAAGCCCAACTACTATTGCTACCATTGCTATTACTGAGTGAGTATTGACAAAAGACACGTGGGCACTTTAGTTTTTTACTTTGGGCCCGTTCTATCATTTATGGCTAGTTGTTTCAAAAAAAATCAATTATGGCTGGTGGTCGTAATCGGACCAACCCGATTCATTTCGGGTTTGGATGCATACCGGTTTGAGTATATTTCGAAGGATTATGCTATGTGTACCTCAAGATTTGTATCCCAATTTGTACCCCGCAGTTTTGCACCAACATTTTGTGTTGGTGTAAAACTAATTTTTGTTAAACGCACCAACATTTGTGTCCGTGTGAATTTTTATTAACGCACCAACACTTGTGACGGTGTAAGCCATCGAAATGTTTGTGCAAACCTGTGGTGTACAAATGGGGTATATTTGTTGGTGTAAGTGTAGCATGGTCCTATTTCGAATTAGATTTTGAGAAGTGGATGAAAAAATATCTTTTTAACCGTGTTCTAGTTTGTATACTTTTTACTTTAACATTTTTATGTATGTTGTATTGTTCATTTCTATACTAATTTATAAATAAAATAAATTTAAATGATATGAAATTTTATATATTATTTTAGATATGATAATCTATTTTGAAATGGATGGAGTAAGAAACATAATTATATAACTAGTTCAAAAAGTAAAATAATTAGTTTCAGATATGGTCGATTTTGAGTCTTATTGGTTTCAAATTTAATCGGTTTCAGTTCTAATCAGTTTTAGATTAAAATTGAGTATGGATATATTTAGTTCAGTTTCGGTTCTGTCAGACCATTTCGACTATTTGGTTATAAATTGAATCTTCACTTTTCAGATCCTTTTAGTTTCGCTTTTGGATCATTCGGTTTAGATAATCGGTTCCAATTCTGTTTTGCAAGGTCTAGTTATGACTATTCTCAATGAGTGGTCACATAGAACAATGGACATCTGTGACGTTCCATTTGCAAAATTGATAGTTCTTAACCCCTCTTATTCCTCGATAAACCCCTCTTAGTCTCGGCTCCAAGAACTCATCACTCTACACTCGTCAATTGCATCATGCAAGTTTAGTTGACTTTGGAGTCAACTAAATTTGCAGTGTGTAATTGACATGGGTAGGGGGCATTGGGGTCAAAACTAAGTGGAGATTTATAGAACGTAGTAACTATCAATTTTTCGAATGGAGTAACGTGAGTGTCTTAGTTGGGATATTGTCATTCATGGCCACTCAAAGAGAGTGGCTACAGAACCTAGTTGTATTTTTTTAATGTGTCAATAAAACTAGTATCACACCCGTGCGTTGCACGGGTCATTTTGATGTTATTAAATTCAGATCATTTTTTAATGATAAAAAATAAGATGCAATAGAATATAGAAATTATATTATTTTAAGGTACAGAAATACAATGTTTTACAAATTTCGAAAGACTTCTTTATAGACTACATTATTTGTAGTGTTTGTGGGAGTATTGTCTTCATTGCATATCAGAATTTCAATCCACTACGATTAGTTACTCTTGAAACTGCAACATAGAGCTGTCCATGACTAAACACAAGTTTCTGTAACAGTAGTCCAACATGTTTTAGAGATTGTCCCTGGCTCTTGTTAATCGTCATTGCGTACGAAGTAACCACATGGAATTGTCTTCTTTGAAACTTGAAAGGAATTCTTGTATCAGAAGGTGTTAATGATAGTCTTGGAATAACAACTTTTTCACCCATGTGGCTTCCTGATAATATTTTTCCTTGTATTGAGTGATTAGCCAACCGGGTTACTATCAACCGTGTACCATTACATAAACCCATTGAATGGTCAATATTTGTCAACAACATAATAGGCGTGCCTACATTCAGAGTTAATTCATGATTCGGTACACCTAAAGCACGAATCTTATTTAAGAATTCGGGAGAGTGTAGGTCACCAAAAAAAACTTGAACTGCAATCCGAGTTCTCAACTTTATCAGAGCTAAGGTATGTTCGAGTCTCGCTGCTTGTATTCATCGCTGTCATATATTCGTTTATGGAATCGACGACATCCAATGTAGGAGCCAAAATTGCGCGCTCCTGCAAGTAGCTCAGTTCATTGGCTATTTTTTGAAAGTCTGGATAAGTTGAGTTCACTATAGTGGCTATTGGATCTTCAAAAGACGGAAGTAACATGTCATCAGGAATTATCACCTCAGCATAGCCGTCATGTTCATCACCTGTGTTCCCGTCACCAATACTTTGAATCCGTTTGCTGAATTCAAATGATTGATCGTAACCACTATCATGAATCATTAATTGTAGCCGCATGTTTTTCGTCAAACGCAACACAGTGCAGTCTTCCCAAATGTATGAAGAATTAATCGTTGAGTTAACGATGTCCTGTCTCGTTCCTTTTGGAATAACGGGTAAAATTTGACGAAAATCTTCACCAAAGACAATTGTTTTTCCTCCGAAAATTTGTTGTTCACTCATTGGATTAGAAAAGCGTAGAATATCGGGCAAACTTCTATCCAAAGCTTCAAAGCAATACTTGTGTGTCATAGGGGCTTCATTCCAAATGATTAATTTCGCTTTCACCAAGAGTTGTGCTAGCGGAGACCCCTGCTTTGTTGCAAGTAGAGTTTTCATCTGGAATCAAAGATAGTTTAAAACGCGAGTGAGCCGTTCTACCACCTGGCAACAATAATGATGCTATTCCACTTGACGCAACATTCAGTACTATATGACCTCGACATCGTATTGCAGCTGATAATGTTCTCCAGACATATGTCTTGCCAGTGCCTCTATATCCGTACAGAAAGAAAACTTTGCCAGCATTTGTTTGAACAGATTGCATTACTGCATCATACGCTGCACGTTGTTCATTGTTCAGTGAACGCAATAGTCTGGTGTGCTCGCTTGCCAATGCTATTCGATCGTATTGCATTTCATAAAAAATCAATCAATTGGGTAAAGTCCAAATTCTCTGGAGGTTCGCTTGAGGCATATCTGTGTAATCGCGAAGGCTCTTACCACGACTCCTCAGCAAGTCTTCGAGATCACATAGAATATGGTTCTGAATCTCATCGTCAGTAAGAATTAGACCTAATTAAAATTTATAAAGTGTTAGTCATATTGTTTTTATTTTAAATCATTATAATATTAGAAAAATTACCTTCATGATCCAATAAACGACGTTGCCGGTACAAAACATCATCTCCCATATACTGCCAACATTGCTCCCACACATGCCTTGGTCTGGACATTGATTCCGTTGTCAATAGTGTTGCAAATAAATTCCTTAGCTGCGTAGCAGAAGCCCATTGACTTGCCTCCACGAATGCGTCCAGATATTCTCTATCATCGTCAAGCAATCCCAATGCATAACATGCATCACGGTATGATTCATGAACAATGCCATTTACCGTTTTGATATCATCGTAGCAGGTAGTGCCACGCACTATGTTTAGAAGACATCTCAGGTAGTACGGTTCACCTGTACCTGGAGGAACATAACTCAAACGTCCTATCGCAAAACCTCTCTTTCGAGGTTCATATTGTCTCTTATCTGATTTCCAAACAAATTTTTGTGGAAATTCACCATATGTTAGAGCTCGTGCATTGGGATAAGTTTTATTTGCAGTCATCCATGCCAGAAATTTACTCTCTTTAATGCTTTCTCGTCGGACAACTTCAGAGGCATTATCATCGTCTTCAAAAAATATCATTTGTTCATTTGGCAAGTGAAAGCTCAAGCGTTCAACAGCCGGATTTTTATACTGCAACTCATATCCAAAGATTCTCCACATAGCTTCACATGGACAAATATACTCCCTCCGTCCCAATTTAAATCGTCTGTTTTGACTTTTGGGCATATTTAAGGAAAATAAAAAATAGAGTTGATTTTTCGAAATTGACATTACTTTTTAGGAGGGGTGATGATGAATGAGAAGATAAGGTCAAGAAGTGTGACTTATTTTAGGGGTAGTTTAGGTATTTTATTTTTAAAAGTTTACGAAAACAACTAACAGGCAACTTATTTTGGGACGGAGAAAAAAGGCAAACATGCAATTTAAAATGGGACGGAGGGAGTATCTACAATCATAGTAGAGTTTGATTTCGTTTGTCTCATCTATTGCTAAATCCGCAGAATTCTTGGAGTTTTCATAAAAAACAGCAGTTCTCGATCATGACCTTTGTTGACATACTTAAACAAATACTTGATGGAACGTGTTTGGTTACACCATTCGACATTCAGATGCGCTCCATATTTCATGAGTAAGTACCTATTATGTGGTACGACAAAACGATTGTCCAAAATAACCCCATTTTTTTCAATCGTTCGTCCATCGTTACGTCTTCTGTGCCTTGCATATCCATTGTCATCAATGATAGTATCATTATTGAATTCTTTTGGAAAATGTCTGGTGCATCTACCATTGTCCATGCAAGGGGCGTCTGCTGCAAACGGTCCGTAAGGTCCATGAACCATAAAATCAGAGACTGCTTGAAAATACTTAGGATCCAAATCTTTATCAGGGAGTTCAACATAAATCATTTTGTCAATAACTTGAGGAGTTGGATTTTTGCTCTGTTGGCCCAAGAATAATAATATATGCCCATGCAGTAATCCTCGCTTCTGAAACTCAATGGTATAAACAACTGCATTCAAAAATAATTTTTAAGCGTTAAATTAATCCCACGTGTGCAAGTGTTCATTTTAAATATGAAAAAAAAGTTAGTGTGTAGTACCTGCACGAACTATTCCAAAAAGTTGTTGCTTGTGCAGTTCTTTAATGAGCATATTTAATTTCATATGGAAAACTTTGCAACATATATCCGGACGATCTTGAGGGCTTAGATTTCTTTTTTCAAGAAATCGAGTGATTTCTGGCCACTTTGGATTGCATGTAAAAGTCAAGAATAAATCAGGATAGCCAGCCCATCGACATATTGCCATAGCATCTTGATAGTTCTCTATCATGTAACGTGCACCACCAACAAACGTTGACGGGAGAATTACTCTCTTGTGGCTGAAGCATCAATGTCCCCATGGAGTAGTGAGTCAGACGATTATACATCTCACTCCGGAGCTTCTTCTGGTGGGTTCTTATCCATAATAACCGTAATGACTCCATCATGGTATATCCATCTACAACTATCTCCTGAAAAAGCTTTCTTGAATATAAAATGAAAGGAATTTTTAATTACCTTTTGTGTTATATGTTCTTATTTTTTTACTTACCATTGTTAAATATTCTATCGGTAGTTACTAATTAGATTAATTAGATTATTTTTTAGAGGCCTTTTTTTACATATGTTCTTCGTTACCTTGTTTTATATACGTTTTTAGTTACCTTTTATTACCATTCGTATAAATTAGACCTGTGCAAACAAGGGTCGGCCCGTTCGGTCGCCCAGCCCGCCCTTTAAAAAGGGCGGATATGGACAACCTTTAATACCCAAATGGGCGGGCCAGTCCAAGCCCAAATTGTATATGGGCGGATCTGAAAGTTACTTTTAGTCCATCTGGGCCAACAGGCCC